AGTGCCATCGCCATAATTGCTATTTGCCTTTGCCATTACCATTACCACTACCATGGTTCCGAACCAGGCTAATCGTCCGCACGACTTGTGATTGAAATAGACCCTGATAGACGAAATGAACAACTTGAACCAAGTCAGTTCAATGTGGCCATTTTGTTCATTAGAGCCTAAAGGAGAAAGCTTAGGAGATGGGTACTGGTCCTATTAAATCTTAGGGGTTTTCATTTAAGAAATAAAAGCCATTGCCATGCCCTGCTTTCGTCCGAAATTGAGGATAAAAACCGCATCATTCTATACATAATGTTCAACTAGAGAGTTGAGCCCTGCGGCAAGATATGACACCGGAAAATACATGAAGACCATACATGTCCTCAGTCGATTGTATCCTATATTCTTGAAGCCTGCCTGCTTGCTAAGTTCCCTGAATGGTTTTTTTTTTTTGCTTTGTTTTATCTTGTTGTTTTTTAGGCTTTATCACAGCTACTTAACTTGTGTATTTAACTGCATTGATTCTTCTCCTAATTGATACTTTTTTCCACAGTTTAAATATGACTTGATATATTCTTTTCCATGCAGTCTTTTTCCACGGGTATATTAAAAATCCACATAATGATCAGCTTCCAGTTGGCTTGATAGCTCAGTTGGTAGAGCACTGTACCGGTATCACAGACTCGTGGGTTCCAATCCCGCTCGAGCCTACATTTCTTTAAAGCTTTATCACAAGTTCTTTAATTATTGTTTATGCAATGGGTAATTATTTGCAGACCATCCTTGGAGATTAAATTAATGCTTCACTTCTGTGTTTATTTTCTCCAGGACGAAGCTTGATTTGTACTGTTGAAAGAAAGCTATTGATGCCTGAGAGAGATGTATGTCTTGGCAAAACAACACACAATTCATTCTTAGATATTTCTGTTAGATTTAGCGGGTGGTGAGGAAGACTTTCCGTTAGGTCAAAACAATTAGTATTGAAGTCGAAGATAATTTGATTCTATTTCAATGTGCGTTGAATAGTCATCACTTCAACTAATGTGTAAAGAACATTTTTTGTTATAGTTATTTATTGACACTGTATTTTATTGTAAATAAAACACCTGTTATATTGTTTGCTACCGTGCACTATGTTCATTTTTACAAGGTTTCTGCCTTTTTGGCAAATAAACGTCATTGAGCTCGTGAACGTGCGGTTGGAAATCCTTCTGCAACTGATAGATAAACTTATAACGTTCTCTAGCTAAAAATATTAATAAAACACAAGCTTTCGACTGCCTAAACTGCAGTCTTCAGCGGGTGAAATGATGAAACACCAGATGAAGACTATTTTTAGCCGTAGAATGTTTGAAAGAAAAACAAATGGTTACATTGATGGTATAACTGCTGTAAGGAATAAAGTTTTGTTGTTGTTGTTGTTGTATAACTGTATAACCCTATCAGCTGCTTCTCTTGTTACTATTTGACAAACACATTGCAATCCACATAAAATCCGAAGGTCTTTGTAGTCAAGTCAATCTGGATTACGGCTCTCTTTGAAGATAAATATGAGCACAGACTAAAAATTTAGGTTAGCGGGTGGAATGATAATATGATTTCGTTATTTCACCAGGTGAAGACTATTTTAAGCCAGAGAATGTTTTCACGTTACTCTGCTCCATCCTGGCTGCGCTCCTTCGATTTTTTCTTGGAGATGAAAGCAAACTCGACCAATAACAATAGCTCGTGTTAGTTTCTCTTATCCCTTAAGAAGTCAAAGCATTCTCCACGATCCTAAGTATGCGCAATTCAACCGGACTTCATTACATTGCTGCTCTCGCGTTCACCTCGAAAGCAAGTTCAGTGTAATGAGTGCATAATTCTCGCGAAGCACCTTGCGCCATTAGCAGGATGAGCAGCGATTCTGATTACAGCAAACTTAGTTTCAGTTACTAAAAATGTATAAGAAAAAAAAAATGAAACGCTGACCTAAATTTTTAGTCTGTGTTCATATTTATCCTTAAAGAGCCTGTGAGAAGATCCGTAATGCAGACTGACTTGATTACAAAGACCTTCGGAGTTATTGTAGATTGCAAAGTGTTTGTCAAAAAGTAACAAGAGCAGCAGCCAGCAGTTCTAGGGTGTGTTAACCATCAAAGTAACTGTGTTTTGCCAGACTCCTACTCGGACGCTTCGCACTTCTGGGTATGAGTCAGATGCCGTTTTCCTGTGCTACACTCACGACCAAGTCCAAATGTGGTTAGAATGTTTGACAGCACACTCGGTAACTGACTGTGCCGTCGCGTTTCGACGTCATATGCCAAACTGCTATGCGCTGATGTTAAAATAAGGCTGGAAAAGTTCTTTGAAGTCCAAAGTAGTGTGAGCACAACAGACGTTTCGGGCTTAGTCCTTCTTTAGGGTTACAGCCATACAAAAACTATACGTGCACGCAGACGGAAAGCGCGCGAAAAAAAGACGTTGGAAATAAAAATGGCGTGCTGCACCATGTGAAATACCTGTACTCATTATCAGCGCGTGAATGTTAACTGCGCGCGAGAAACACAGTCACTGAAAAAAAGGCTTTATTTTCTGTCCGCTCGGTCAAATCATGCACAGCTTAGCTGGGCGTCGGAAGAGATTTTACCCCCGGCCCTCACGCAAAGAACTCTGCGGGACGGCAACTCGGTTGGCACTGCTGAACGGCCATTTCCACACTAAATGTCCACAGAAAAGAATTCACCTTCTTCTGAGAGCCTTTATTGTTATTGAAATCACAAAACAGCCTAGGTTTTTCACTCACACCGCGCGCTCACACCATAATACGTAATGGTTCATCATTAAATCACGCTGTTTCCCTGTCACAATCCAAGTTATCGACACAGTCCAGAGACCAGGTTACAACTTTGCCGGTTTGGTATCCACCAGCCATATGTCAGAGGAGCAGTCACCCCCCGGATAACGCACTTCATGAGCGAGAGCTGGTCCGTCAGGCTCTTCTCCAAAGTCCACACAGAAATCAGGATTCAACTTGAGCCCGCCATTCACTGAATCAACGTCAACTTGCAGCAACATGGCGCCTTTCCTAGGAAAAGAATACAACAACACAGTCAAACTCTTGATGGATGCTCTTTTTCGATCATTTTCAGGCTTGCAATTATTTTAAAATACACTTAACAGGCAACTGGCTTAAGCCACTGCTGTAATAAGGTGAATTACTAAGCAACAGAACAGTCGTCATAGCAACAAGCTGGCAAGTATTTTGGAAGTGCTATTTTCCAGTTGGACGATGACAATCAGTTATGGGTAAGACAATACAAGAATGCAAGAATGGAATTTTTTCCCCTCAGATTTCTACATTCAGTATTCCTTATAATACAAAACTTAACTTCCAAGATAAATTTTTCTCAAACCTTCTTCCCGAGTTTGTCGGAGAAATGAGAATTTGGATGAAAATTTAAATGGCCTACTTGAGCTAACTAAAGCGAGATCTTCATTGGTAAGATTAATTGGTTACGAAGGGCATTTCAGTGATTCTTACTTGGAGAGATCAGGGTAGAACTGATTGTCCCACACACTGTACAGCGATGTCGTGACGTAAAGCCGTTTGCCATCCAAACTGAGCTGAATCATCTGCGGTCCTCCTTCCACTCGCTTTCCCTTCACGTAACACGGCTCAGGCTGTCCGCTCAGTTCGGAGTCTTGTATCACCTTCACTGGGCCGTCGTTGACAATACTGCCGCCAATAAACAACTAAAAGGGATTGTTTAAAAAAAATACGTTCTGTTTAACGTAGGTTATGAGCTAGTTTTTATTATACGTTTGCAAAGAACTAGGATTGGTTAAAAAAATATGTAACTTCATAGCCTTTAATTTAAGGCTATGAAGTTACACCGTGATTGGTCATTAAAATGGTGTAATCTTCAACCACACAAGGGCAAGACTTAAAACTATGCTTCTGGCTAAACCTAACGTTCCTTTTCGCGCTTGGAAGCCACGCAGCTAAAATTTTGGCTTCGAATTCTGATTGTCTGATTTTCTTTTTGCGTTTTTTATGGTTGGCAATTTAACAAATTGACGTCAGTTTTTCATGCATCTGTCCTGTTATTGATCATGAATTTCGTCATAATGCGCTCTCGCTTGTCGCGTAAACATCACATAGATTATAAATTCGTGCGTCTGTCCACTTACTGCCAATGAAAATTAGCCAATGAGCGCGCGAGAATATTTGCAGTTATTGTAAAAAGATTACTTTGCTTCGGATCACATTCAAAAACAGAATATTTTCTCGTTAAAGATACGCTAAGATAAGTAAAAAGGTTAATTCACACATGTACAACACCTTAGTCACGCCTTTCGATTACTTTGCGCTCGCTTTCTACTGTGAGTAAATATCAAAAACAGGTCTACTATTGACGTTGTGTATACAAGCAAGCTTGTAAACCTCACTTGTAAAAACTTCCCGATGAAGTCTGCTATTGTCAGACGAAACGCGTAGGAGATTAAACCAGGCTTTTATAATTTCAGTTCGTGCAACGCTGCTCACTAGTTCATCATCTAAAAAAGTTTAATAAAAGCCCGGAAATCGTTAGTAGATACAGTACAAACACGGTATCTTGAATTCAAATCATTTTCCGTTGTATATACTATTTCAGTCACTTACTATCGTCTATGTCGAGCTGTTTTTCGTTTTCTTTTAAGAGTTCTAATATAAGTAGTGGGTTCAACTATAATATGCAAATATTCACCTGTCCGACAAGCTTCGGGCGTTTAGGGTCTGTGATGTCATATTGTCTGATGTCTCCATGAATCCAATTGCTGAAGTACAGGAACTTGTCATCCAATGAAATCAGGATATCGGTAATCAGACCTAGACCCCGGATAACAACAGTAATTATTCTAACGTTTCAGGAAACCCTAAAGCTCCTAAAGTGTCTCCCTCTGGAAACAAATCAAATTAATCTGCACATGCTATAGCCTCCTTTTAACACGTTTTACGTTTTGTAGCTGCTTTGCGATTATTTGTGTCGTCACGCAACTCGCCTCTCTAAGACCTCCTCCGATGATGCGTCGCGTGACGACCCAAATAAAGGCTGCGAAGGAAGACGAGAGAACTCCTGACCTGGCATTTCTGGTAGTGCCCAGCCTTCAACCTTCTTGTTTGGGACTTTGATGACAGTTTCAGAACCCCAGGAGCTCATCTGAAAAATAACGCAAAGAAACAGAAAAACTTGTCAACAGAAAAGTAATCAAGGAAGAAACTTGTTGCATTACACAAACGAAGAGCGTACTATTCCCAACTCGTTAATTTAACTTATAATCTAACTGCAGGAGCAAAAAGGCCTCAAAATGTCACTGGTGTATTGCACTTCCAGTTGAGAGACAAATGGTTCCAAAACCTAGACAAAGTGATGACTGATGCGCGCGAACCTACTATGCTACACCTTGCCCTTCCCACCCCTCTCCCTCTTTTCCAACTTACCTACCCCCCGTAGTTTAACCACTCCACCACCAGCACCATCCCAACCTTATGCAAGCCAATCTGCTAGAGGTTACCTGGTTTTTGAAGAACCTGACGATAGTACTGCTCAGCGCGCATCCCGTGAATCCTTGCGGCTCTTCAGGGTTGTGCAGGAATCTTATCTCCAGAGGAATGGTACCCACTCCTAAGTCGATTGTCTGTTGAATGGTTCGCGAGGTCCAGTCCCACACGTGCAAGTGAGATCCGTATTTCCCTAAAGAAATTTTAAAATATCCTCACACTATACGTACAATTTGTGTAGCAAACATTGTTGAATTTTGGCCATTAAGGTTTTAATTTTTCCACACTTTTGTCTGTAAAACCTATTTGCAATTCGTGGGAAAATTAAGAGACATTTGCACGCGAAATTTCTGCTCTTACAGCAAGTCTATGTTCTTCAAATTTGATCAGAAAAAACCTTCTGCTAAGTATCGTTTCCTGCTAACTCATAAAATCTTCAGAATGTCAATCACTCTCAAATTATTGAGCATCCAACTTTTATCTTTTCCCAAATATTTACTGTACGTTTTTCCGTTAAAAAGGCGTCAGAAACCAACTGAGGAAAGGTCTGTACCTGGCGTACACTGACCGTGATAACGCAGCTTTGTTAGTTATGTTATAAATAATAAATTTGTTGCCAACCTCAGCCTTATAATTGAAATGGAGAACTGCCACTTTATGGTTAATTAATATTTGAATATCTGATACCCCAGGACGCAAGTATGCACTTGCATTCACAAGAAGCTGGCACATGAAAAACTGTGTCTAGTACCTTATCTTGGGAGTTCTGTTTTTGAATCTGCCATTTGCGCAAGGGCTCCTTACCTGTCTGGACATCCTCCAGCTTAAATCCTTTAGTAAGAGCCTTAGGTACTCCCCACTCAGTGCTAATCATGACATTGTGAAGGGGCTGGTACCAAAAGTCATATCCCATGGGAGCAGCAGGCCCAGACTCCCAGCGTCCTTTAACATCAAACGTCTTTCCATCCAGGATGACGAAACCTCCTGAAAACGACAAGCAGTTGAATGATCACCCCGACGAAATGTTGGAGTAAAGTCCTACGGGTCTGTGAGAGTGTAGGGAGGGGAGAGAAGATTCAGCTTCAATTTAGATCTTATTACAGGTTGTCACGCGGTATTTCTCTTAATAGTAGTTGTAAGAAATGTCTCTAACTTCAAGCATGATTAGACTGCTTACGGTCTGATTTCCTAGCCTCAATGTAGTAATGCACCAGTCAAAGTAAATCCCCGCCCCCCACCCCCCGCCCCCAACCCGGGAATAGGCGGGGACTTGGACAAAAGGACTCGAAAAAATGAGCCAATGTCCCCACCCCCAGGAAAATACTTTTATTCCAATGTCCTCGATTGTCCCCGCCTACTACTGAAGGTATATGCTGAGGCTCCAATTTTATTCGGTTCAAAATGGGCGCGATCCATTCAGCTAAAATTTCCGAGTTGAGGTTCGAAAATTTCTTGGTGTCGAATGGATCGCAACGGGTCCGAACGGTCTCGTTCCATTCCACTCGCAAAACGAGTTTCGCGCTCATTTAAATGGAGGATGTTGGATCACTGTTGCTCGCATTAGAGCTAAATGGCGATTTCGAAGGTGATATTAATGATAATGTGTGAGCTGTTTCATGCTTGGTACTTTAACCAGTATAACGGGTTATTTTGAGCAGACCGTTCCCAGATATTTCCCGTATGAGTTCAAACACCACTTTCGAATGACGAAAAGAACATTCCAAATTCTCTCGGGAAATAAATCGTCTTTAAGGTGATTCCCTAGTAAAAGAACCCGCCATAGATTTCCGATAAAACTTGGTATGCTGTTGTCACAGGACAAGGAGATATTAACAACGTAGTAAAAAGAGGGGGTCACCGTACTTGTTTTCACGCCACAATGCTGACAAATACGGTTATTAAGGTGACTTTTGGTAATCTCCGTACACAACAAATAACCTCGACTACTTTCAATGTAGCGTGTTATATCACACAGAGCTTGCCTTTCTTTGATTGTCTATTCACCTACGTCCGAGAAAAAATGTCTTCAAATACCCTGCATTTTTTTATCCTTTAAAGGAAACGTAATTTGAACAGGCGCTGTTGGGCCCGTTATGTCTCCCTCTGTAGTATTTATTTCATTTGCCAAATAAGTAGCAATAGAGTAGTAATTCGATTTCTCGTAATTGTTTTCGGCTGATGAGAGACTGGAAACTGGAAAATTTACCAAATGGTAAGGAAATTTCCGCTGTTCCGTTCCATAAGGGAAAAGAGGACAACCTCTGAAGGTAGTCCACAATTTCCAAACGGATTTTCCGGAAAATGACTGTTCCATTTGACTTTCAACCGAAATTTGCGGATTTTTTTGCTTAATGGTGAGCACTCCTAGACTCCAAGCCTCCTGTCCAGCAGAGAAATTCCCCGGTGCGGATACGTTGGGATACCGAAGAAGCAATTCTCATCCAAGACGCCGCGAACCGGGGCAGTTTTGAGAGTCAACGATCGGTTTTTGTCCCGCTTATGTCCCCGCCTTATGTCCCTGTAGGGGGTCCAAGGGCATCCTCCCCCGTAAAATCTTTAAAATCAAGGTCCTTGAAATGGGATTTGTGGCATTTTAGGCCAAGTCAGAGCATGTTATAATGTCTCATTTTTTTAAATTTAGGGCCAGAACCAAACACAACTAAACCCCCAAACCTCCCTAGATCCACCACAGGTGTTGCATAGTACCTTCTCCCTCTCCATTGGGTTTTCCTAGAGANAAAAAAAAAATGAAACGCTGACCTAAATTTTTAGTCTGTGTTCATATTTATCCTTAAAGAGCCTGTGAGAAGATCCGTAATGCAGACTGACTTGATTACAAAGACCTTCGGAGTTATTGTAGATTGCAAAGTGTTTGTCAAAAAGTAACAAGAGCAGCAGCCAGCAGTTCTAGGGTGTGTTAACCATCAAAGTAACTGTGTTTTGCCAGACTCCTACTCGGACGCTTCGCACTTCTGGGTATGAGTCAGATGCCGTTTTCCTGTGCTACACTCACGACCAAGTCCAAATGTGGTTAGAATGTTTGACAGCACACTCGGTAACTGATTGTGCCGTCGCGTTTCGACGTCATATGCCAAACTGCTATGCGCTGATGTTAAAATAAGGCTGGAAAAGTTCTTTGAAGTCCAAAGTAGTGTGAGCACAACAGACGTTTCGGGCTTAGTCCTTCTTTAGGGTTACAGCCATACAAAAACTATACGTGCACGCAGACGGAAAGCGCGCGAAAAAAAGACGTTGGAAATAAAAATGGCGTGCTGCACCATGTGAAATACCTGTACTCATTATCAGCGCGTGAATGTTAACTGCGCGCGAGAAACACAGTCACTGAAAAAAAGGCTTTATTTTCTGTCCGCTCGGTCAAATCATGCACAGCTTAGCTGGGCGTCGGAAGAGATTTTACCCCCGGCCCTCACGCAAAGAACTCTGCGGGACGGCAACTCGGTTGGCACTGCTGAACGGCCATTTCCACACTAAATGTCCACAGAAAAGAATTCACCTTCTTCTGAGAGCCTTTATTGTTATTGAAATCACAAAACAGCCTAGGTTTTTCACTCACACCGCGCGCTCACACCATAATACGTAATGGTTCATCATTAAATCACGCTGTTTCCCTGTCACAATCCAAGTTATCGACACAGTCCAGAGACCAGGTTACAACTTTGCCGGTTTGGTATCCACCAGCCATATGTCAGAGGAGCAGTCACCCCCCGGATAACGCACTTCATGAGCGAGAGCTGGTCCGTCAGGCTCTTCTCCAAAGTCCACACAGAAATCAGGATTCAACTTGAGCCCGCCATTCACTGAATCAACGTCAACTTGCAGCAACATGGCGCCTTTCCTAGGAAAAGAATACAACAACACAGTCAAACTCTTGATGGATGCTCTTTTTCGATCATTTTCAGGCTTGCAATTATTTTAAAATACACTTAACAGGCAACTGGCTTAAGCCACTGCTGTAATAAGGTGAATTACTAAGCAACAGAACAGTCGTCATAGCAACAAGCTGGCAAGTATTTTGGAAGTGCTATTTTCCAGTTGGACGATGACAATCAGTTATGGGTAAGACAATACAAGAATGCAAGAATGGAATTTTTTCCCCTCAGATTTCTACATTCAGTATTCCTTATAATACAAAACTTAACTTCCAAGATAAATTTTTCTCAAACCTTCTTCCCGAGTTTGTCGGAGAAATGAGAATTTGGATGAAAATTTAAATGGCCTACTTGAGCTAACTAAAGCGAGATCTTCATTGGTAAGATTAATTGGTTACGAAGGGCATTTCAGTGATTCTTACTTGGAGAGATCAGGGTAGAACTGATTGTCCCACACACTGTACAGCGATGTCGTGACGTAAAGCCGTTTGCCATCCAAACTGAGCTGAATCATCTGCGGTCCTCCTTCCACTCGCTTTCCCTTCACGTAACACGGCTCAGGCTGTCCGCTCAGTTCGGAGTCTTGTATCACCTTCACTGGGCCGTCGTTGACAATACTGCCGCCAATAAACAACTAAAAGGGATTGTTTAAAAAAAATACGTTCTGTTTAACGTAGGTTATGAGCTAGTTTTTATTATACGTTTGCAAAGAACTAGGATTGGTTAAAAAAATATGTAACTTCATAGCCTTTAATTTAAGGCTATGAAGTTACACCGTGATTGGTCATTAAAATGGTGTAATCTTCAACCACACAAGGGCAAGACTTAAAACTATGCTTCTGGCTAAACCTAACGTTCCTTTTCGCGCTTGGAAGCCACGCAGCTAAAATTTTGGCTTCGAATTCTGATTGTCTGATTTTCTTTTTGCGTTTTTTATGGTTGGCAATTTAACAAATTGACGTCAGTTTTTCATGCATCTGTCCTGTTATTGATCATGAATTTCGTCATAATGCGCTCTCGCTTGTCGCGTAAACATCACATAGATTATAAATTCGTGCGTCTGTCCACTTACTGCCAATGAAAATTAGCCAATGAGCGCGCGAGAATATTTGCAGTTATTGTAAAAAGATTACTTTGCTTCGGATCACATTCAAAAACAGAATATTTTCTCGTTAAAGATACGCTAAGATAAGTAAAAAGGTTAATTCACACATGTACAACACCTTAGTCACGCCTTTCGATTACTTTGCGCTCGCTTTCTACTGTGAGTAAATATCAAAAACAGGTCTACTATTGACGTTGTGTATACAAGCAAGCTTGTAAACCTCACTTGTAAAAACTTCCCGATGAAGTCTGCTATTGTCAGACGAAACGCGTAGGAGATTAAACCAGGCTTTTATAATTTCAGTTCGTGCAACGCTGCTCACTAGTTCATCATCTAAAAAAGTTTAATAAAAGCCCGGAAATCGTTAGTAGATACAGTACAAACACGGTATCTTGAATTCAAATCATTTTCCGTTGTATATACTATTTCAGTCACTTACTATCGTCTATGTCGAGCTGTTTTTCGTTTTCTTTTAAGAGTTCTAATATAAGTAGTGGGTTCAACTATAATATGCAAATATTCACCTGTCCGACAAGCTTCGGGCGTTTAGGGTCTGTGATGTCATATTGTCTGATGTCTCCATGAATCCAATTGCTGAAGTACAGGAACTTGTCATCCAATGAAATCAGGATATCGGTAATCAGACCTAGACCCCGGATAACAACAGTAATTATTCTAACGTTTCAGGAAACCCTAAAGCTCCTAAAGTGTCTCCCTCTGGAAACAAATCAAATTAATCTGCACATGCTATAGCCTCCTTTTAACACGTTTTACGTTTTGTAGCTGCTTTGCGATTATTTGTGTCGTCACGCAACTCGCCTCTCTAAGACCTCCTCCGATGATGCGTCGCGTGACGACCCAAATAAAGGCTGCGAAGGAAGACGAGAGAACTCCTGACCTGGCATTTCTGGTAGTGCCCAGCCTTCAACCTTCTTGTTTGGGACTTTGATGACAGTTTCAGAACCCCAGGAGCTCATCTGAAAAATAACGCAAAGAAACAGAAAAACTTGTCAACAGAAAAGTAATCAAGGAAGAAACTTGTTGCATTACACAAACGAAGAGCGTACTATTCCCAACTCGTTAATTTAACTTATAATCTAACTGCAGGAGCAAAAAGGCCTCAAAATGTCACTGGTGTATTGCACTTCCAGTTGAGAGACAAATGGTTCCAAAACCTAGACAAAGTGATGACTGATGCGCGCGAACCTACTATGCTACACCTTGCCCTTCCCACCCCTCTCCCTCTTTTCCAACTTACCTACCCCCCGTAGTTTAACCACTCCACCACCAGCACCATCCCAACCTTATGCAAGCCAATCTGCTAGAGGTTACCTGGTTTTTGAAGAACCTGACGATAGTACTGCTCAGCGCGCATCCCGTGAATCCTTGCGGCTCTTCAGGGTTGTGCAGGAATCTTATCTCCAGAGGAATGGTACCCACTCCTAAGTCGATTGTCTGTTGAATGGTTCGCGAGGTCCAGTCCCACACGTGCAAGTGAGATCCGTATTTCCCTAAAGAAATTTTAAAATATCCTCACACTATACGTACAATTTGTGTAGCAAACATTGTTGAATTTTGGCCATTAAGGTTTTAATTTTTCCACACTTTTGTCTGTAAAACCTATTTGCAATTCGTGGGAAAATTAAGAGACATTTGCACGCGAAATTTCTGCTCTTACAGCAAGTCTATGTTCTTCAAATTTGATCAGAAAAAACCTTCTGCTAAGTATCGTTTCCTGCTAACTCATAAAATCTTCAGAATGTCAATCACTCTCAAATTATTGAGCATCCAACTTTTATCTTTTCCCAAATATTTACTGTACGTTTTTCCGTTAAAAAGGCGTCAGAAACCAACTGAGGAAAGGTCTGTACCTGGCGTACACTGACCGTGATAACGCAGCTTTGTTAGTTATGTTATAAATAATAAATTTGTTGCCAACCTCAGCCTTATAATTGAAATGGAGAACTGCCACTTTATGGTTAATTAATATTTGAATATCTGATACCCCAGGACGCAAGTATGCACTTGCATTCACAAGAAGCTGGCACATGAAAAACTGTGTCTAGTACCTTATCTTGGGAGTTCTGTTTTTGAATCTGCCATTTGCGCAAGGGCTCCTTACCTGTCTGGACATCCTCCAGCTTAAATCCTTTAGTAAGAGCCTTAGGTACTCCCCACTCAGTGCTAATCATGACATTGTGAAGGGGCTGGTACCAAAAGTCATATCCCATGGGAGCAGCAGGCCCAGACTCCCAGCGTCCTTTAACATCAAACGTCTTTCCATCCAGGATGACGAAACCTCCTGAAAACGACAAGCAGTTGAATGATCACCCCGACGAAATGTTGGAGTAAAGTCCTACGGGTCTGTGAGAGTGTAGGGAGGGGAGAGAAGATTCAGCTTCAATTTAGATCTTATTACAGGTTGTCACGCGGTATTTCTCTTAATAGTAGTTGTAAGAAATGTCTCTAACTTCAAGCATGATTAGACTGCTTACGGTCTGATTTCCTAGCCTCAATGTAGTAATGCACCAGTCAAAGTAAATCCCCGCCCCCCACCCCCCGCCCCCAACCCGGGAATAGGCGGGGACTTGGACAAAAGGACTCGAAAAAATGAGCCAATGTCCCCACCCCCAGGAAAATACTTTTATTCCAATGTCCTCGATTGTCCCCGCCTACTACTGAAGGTATATGCTGAGGCTCCAATTTTATTCGGTTCAAAATGGGCGCGATCCATTCAGCTAAAATTTCCGAGTTGAGGTTCGAAAATTTCTTGGTGTCGAATGGATCGCAACGGGTCCGAACGGTCTCGTTCCATTCCACTCGCAAAACGAGTTTCGCGCTCATTTAAATGGAGGATGTTGGATCACTGTTGCTCGCATTAGAGCTAAATGGCGATTTCGAAGGTGATATTAATGATAATGTGTGAGCTGTTTCATGCTTGGTACTTTAACCAGTATAACGGGTTATTTTGAGCAGACCGTTCCCAGATATTTCCCGTATGAGTTCAAACACCACTTTCGAATGACGAAAAGAACATTCCAAATTCTCTCGGGAAATAAATCGTCTTTAAGGTGATTCCCTAGTAAAAGAACCCGCCATAGATTTCCGATAAAACTTGGTATGCTGTTGTCACAGGACAAGGAGATATTAACAACGTAGTAAAAAGAGGGGGTCACCGTACTTGTTTTCACGCCACAATGCTGACAAATACGGTTATTAAGGTGACTTTTGGTAATCTCCGTACACAACAAATAACCTCGACTACTTTCAATGTAGCGTGTTATATCACACAGAGCTTGCCTTTCTTTGATTGTCTATTCACCTACGTCCGAGAAAAAATGTCTTCAAATACCCTGCATTTTTTTATCCTTTAAAGGAAACGTAATTTGAACAGGCGCTGTTGGGCCCGTTATGTCTCCCTCTGTAGTATTTATTTCATTTGCCAAATAAGTAGCAATAGAGTAGTAATTCGATTTCTCGTAATTGTTTTCGGCTGATGAGAGACTGGAAACTGGAAAATTTACCAAATGGTAAGGAAATTTCCGCTGTTCCGTTCCATAAGGGAAAAGAGGACAACCTCTGAAGGTAGTCCACAATTTCCAAACGGATTTTCCGGAAAATGACTGTTCCATTTGACTTTCAACCGAAATTTGCGGATTTTTTTGCTTAATGGTGAGCACTCCTAGACTCCAAGCCTCCTGTCCAGCAGAGAAATTCCCCGGTGCGGATACGTTGGGATACCGAAGAAGCAATTCTCATCCAAGACGCCGCGAACCGGGGCAGTTTTGAGAGTCAACGATCGGTTTTTGTCCCGCTTATGTCCCCGCCTTATGTCCCTGTAGGGGGTCCAAGGGCATCCTCCCCCGTAAAATCTTTAAAATCAAGGTCCTTGAAATGGGATTTGTGGCATTTTAGGCCAAGTCAGAGCATGTTATAATGTCTCATTTTTTTAAATTTAGGGCCAGAACCAAACACAACTAAACCCCCAAACCTCCCTAGATCCACCACAGGTGTTGCATAGTACCTTCTCCCTCTCCATTGGGTTTTCCTAGAGAGCTTATCATGACCTCCCCATTGGCCAGGCAATGTGTTGTATGAAGATAGCCAAGTCCAGTCTTTTTAGCAACCTCTTCTGGCTGAATTATCTGAAACAAAGAAAACAAGCACACAAAAAATGGAAAAATTCAATACTGCTGAGCAAGTGAAAGTGAAAAGATCTGGGGATAATATTCTCGCATAATAGGCAAATCAATGAAAAAAAGTTTGTAAAGTGGCAGATACACAATACTCAGATGTTTATGCTACTGTGTTTACTTCTATCCTCTCAGTCTATCCAAAGGCACTGACTATTAATTAAAACAAATTCCCAGTGACCACAGCTTTGTGACATATTTGCAGATGTCACACTTGTGCACAAGATAGAAGAAAGATGTGACATGAAAATATTTTTATTTTAGCAAAGCAATGCAAGACCAGCTTAGGATTCAACCACGTCACTAACTTCACAAAAATTGAGGTATAATGAAAGAATGAAGATCAATCTACATTAGCAACTTGGAAAAAATCCAAACCATTGTCACTATTCTGTTAAACAGGACATCCCTTCCTGGCTCCCTTCCCAGGATAAAGGCTAAGAGAGTTATTTCCCCATATAGGCGTTATTCCCTAGGACCTTTCTCTCAAGTTATTTTTAGATTTCTCCCAGCTTCTGAAATCCATAGGGGAGTCTAGGTGGTGAGAATTGTACTCAACATGTGTACAGCCCAAGCGGCTTTACACAGCTTTTCATCCTCCAATGTATGTGCATGGTAACAAAATCCCACACTCAAGAAAACTGTATGCCACATCTTAAAATAACTTGAGAAGGATCACCTTGAGAATTAAAGACCTATACCGCAGTAAATTCTTTTACCCTTCATCTTCTGTTGGGAACACTTTTTAAAACGAGTTACCTTGTGTATCTGTGGAGCTCTAGGATCACTTTCAACATCAAATATGTAAATCCGACCAGAAATTAAAGAGGGCATAATGAGGCGATTTCTTCTCTTGTTGGGGTTACCAAAACAACTGAAAAATAAGAAGACTGTGTTAAAAACTGAGCTGCATATGCAGTCATGTTGTTTTTAGTTTAATAATTATTATGATTAAGAAATAGAAAAAAATTCTACTTCATTCATAAGCAATGGTTAAATGAAACAATTATCATTGAAATTACCTACTGCAAGCGTTCCAGCCACTGTGATGCAATTCATCTCCCTTGTAAGGTACTGGCAGACGATGAATGACCTACACAGACAACAGTGAAGAAAACTTACGTTAAATTATCATTTTAATTTTTTGTATGTTACAATCATATATTAGCTTGCTTCCAGAAACCTTTCACAATTATTTTCTGGTTTCCTTTTCAATCCAGTTTCTATCCATCACTTCTCATCCTCAGAACCCCTTATTTTAAAGCTCTTTTTCACAGCACAGCTAACTTAACAACGGCTAACAAGTCAGTAGTATGTACATCAATTGGCCAGTTTACCTTTGAGTAGGTCCTAGAGCGAGGATTCACATCAACAGTGGCAAGGTAGTCTGGTTTGTCAATCCCAGTGTTTGTACGGATACATGGAAGGTAGACTAGAGTCTCCCTGGGACCTTTCATGGCATCCAGGGGTGTGGCATATCCAGGACCACAAGCACAGTGACCTGCCGAGCAATGTAAAGTGACAGGAGCTCAAATAATTTGTTTTAATTAAACAAATCAAGCTGAAAACAATAATACTAAGATTAAAAGTTGATCTTAGTGCCATTGTTTAAATCACTCCACATGATTGCTCCAGGGCAGCTGTATTCTGCACAGGTTTGGTATTTCATAGGTGTTTCTAAAGTAAATAGAACATTACATAGCCGCTAATGAAGATACTAAATTTCTCTTTGAATGTAAATGAAAAATATTTACTCATGTGGCATGACTCTACAATTCAAATTTATTTTTGCATTAAAAATATATCAGTTCTAGAGAAGCTTGTTGAACTGATACTGGTAGATAATGCCAAATTTTAGGGCTTTCAGAGAACATATAGTAAATTGCTTAATTCATCAGAGAGAAGAGAAAATGTAACATCCTCTATTTTATGAAATGTTGATAAATAACTAGAAAACAGGAATAAATCTCTGGCCGTTTTTACACTGGGAGACGTATTATCCATCCAGAAGGATATTGCGTCCTCGCCCTTTTTATACTAAAGACGCATTATTCGTCTGGAGGAATTTGAACTTGGGCAAACATTTGTAGTTATCACCTGGTTATGTGTCTTTAGTATAAAGACGGGCATAAAATGCATTATACGTCTAGATGAATTATTCTTCAAAATGTGTCTTGAATGACGCACTTCAAGAGATAGTTTGTCTCTAGAGACACTACAAATGTTTGCCCAAGTTCATCCAGATGGATAATGCGTCTTTAGGCCCAGGTCGCACCAGAGCAATTTTGTTTGTATAAGTAATAAATCTGTCAACAAGTAGCATAAAATAAGTGCGACCCCCAGTTTCAAAAACTTGCCAAATTTTTGCAGATTGCCAAAATTTCGCTGCAATTTCAAGCAAAAAATACAGAAAATAATAATTTTACAAATATCTCAAGACCCCCTACAAGTTAGTGCCTCTGACAATCGCTTGTAAGTCCCCCGCCCCCTGCCTCCAATTCAAAATACGCTTTGCCATCCCTGTTGGCAGTTTAATTGGTCAGTTTATCAAATTGGGGACTTTGACCTGAATTACTGTGACATTTGATGTTGCTCAACACAAAAGTAGAGTTGTGAATTATTAAAAAACTAAAGTAAGACAAGCTGTTATTCCCCTATTACGCCATTTTACCATATAAGGTGAAGAGATCGTGCAACATAAGAGCTGAGTCATGCATGACATTTGCAGACTGCAAATGACAAAGTCATATAAGCTATAAATTTCGCGCAGGTTAGCCTGAATAGCGCTCACTCCGTTTACGTTACTGTAGCCCTCGGTTATGTTAATGGTAAATAAATGTGATATTAGTTTTTAAGGTCTGACTTGTTGATATTAGTAAATTATAGGTCACAACAGGACTCTACAGTGCAACAACAGGTCACAACAGAGGAAATAACGACAGAAACGGCGTGCAGAGAAACAAAATGGCCGATGTCTTTGACTTGTTTGAACTTGACTTGTTTTAAAAAGCTTTTCGTCATTCACACGCGCCTTATGTGATCGGCCGTACGATTTTGGCGTGATGCAGGACGTATTTCATAAACTAAAAGAGGCCTTTAGCCCCCAGGTCGATTAGCCCCCAACCCCGTTTAACCCCCAACCAGAAGTCGACTAGCCCCCAACCAGAGTCTAAAACACTGTCTATTTCTCGTTCTTTAAGCTTGAATATGGACTAATAGAAGCTAAACGACTTCTCATTGGGAGCTAACCGGCCAGGGGCCAACTGACTTGAGGAAAAGGGTAACCAATAAAAGCCGAAATACTACACTCTAACTCCAACACGGTGACCCGTAACTTATTTAGCCCGCGGCAACTTGCAATGGCTTTAAATAACTACAAAATTTGCTATATGATTTGTTCAAGTATTTTTCGCGGACAACAAAACCCACTCTCCGACGAATAAGCTGGTCAAGTTTCCCTAGCTCAGAAATTAGTTAATGTTATCGTCACGAACGGGGCAAAATTGACACCACGTGCTAGTTGTAAAGCTATGGATAAAGCATCGATTACTTAGCTAGCTAAAGAAAGAGGATTCAAAACTCACCTCCACTCGCCATTTCAATTCAGCAGACAAAGCTCGTGTAGTTGTGCAATATTACATGTAATCCCGTATAGTGGCTTGCTAATATTGGGTCAGATAACGCAACTCTTAAACTTGAATGCACACCGTTACGTCACGTAAACCAGTTGAATACAAGAGAAGCCCTTCGAATCGTACGGGGTGGGGGTTGGAGAAAATGGACGAATTACAGAATGTGAACATGTGCAATTTTTGCTTGATTGAAAATAATACGTCTAATAAAGAGTCTATTTAATATGCCGTAAGGTAGAAAGGATTGCACAGCCTGGTTTCTGGTCTGCTATATTCTCCAGACTTTATTGACTAAGCATGTCCCCAGAAATGAGGAAGATGCGACCCCGGAGGGGTACTGCCATATATGGCTATATAGGTATGTGCCGCTGTGAAGGCTATGGTTTTCAAGCAGTTTATTCTAGCAAAGGGTATATAAATCAGAGCGTTTGGGTCTAGAATAGGGTATCATTTTTCGCGAAACTGACCAGTTGGTTGAAGATTTTATCTAGACTAACGAAACCAGGAATTGCCACTCAAAAATATAAAAGAAGTCAAATCGGTAAGTTTAAATTTACGCAAATAAGCCTCCACAGTGCCGATAGATGGGGAGATTCAGGGGGTTTACTCTAGTATAGGGTAGCAAAATTCAGCTGAACTAGCTCTGGTTTAGGCTGAGGGTTCCAGGGTGCCAGCGGCGCGTACCTACCACTCTCTGCAATTTAGATAAACTGTAATCAGGTGGGTTTTTTTTTCGGTTTTGAAAGGGACGAGATGAAGGGAGGGTATGACCGCAAGTTACCCATCCGGCCAAATAGGCCACTTGTCGTAAGGCGCGGTTCCAGTTTAATTACTCCTGCATCTCACTCCAGGAGGTGTGAAGGTACAGCAAATTGGGTGACATTTTTAGCCAGCAGCCATACAAATTTATTGGAACAAAAGTTAGGTTGCGTAGCTGGCGGTTTCGGTTGGTTTTCGCGGCTAGCGAGGCCGTGAGAAGATTGGTGACGAGACGGACAGAAACCCTTCTTCCCGCCGGTCCGTCGCTCGTCCCGCGCCACGAAAGCCCACCGAAAAAATCCCACCGAAAGCGCTAATTACGCAGGCTAAACAAAAGAAAGTTTTTACACACGAAGAGAGTTCATTTCCCACAGGATTGGTTTGGGACCCTAACCTGGCCGGCGTTTCATTGTTTTTTGTACGGCGTGACGTCATGTGAAAACACTCTACTGTATGAAACTGACGAAAACAAACAGCCTATGTAAGTTAAGCTTTTATTTGAATGATCAGTATTTATTTCTATGTACATCAACGACTATTCGCTACGATTTTGGGAGAATGCCTTAACAATGTAGTCTGAAAGGCGCTCTTGTGTGATAGTATCACCCAAACACAGCTATGAAGCGCTTTATCTATGAACCGTATACCATTGTGTACAAAATATGGATAAATAGGGTAGAGCCTGAACTCGATTGCTCTTGAGCCACGACATTTACGAGTTAAGATCAGGATGAATGTTAGCTAACTTCAAGAAGTACTCGGATTTAAGGAGAGGTAGTCTCTGTTGAATATCTATGAGCGGTTGATAGAGGTCATTGTAATGTAATAGGCTGTGTCTGGGTGATGGAGTCAACAATGAAAAGATCTAAGTTGCGGCTATTGCTATTCTAAATAGTAACTGTTATTCATAAAAATATCATCTAAAATGTTAAGTTGTCTAGTGAAATGTATAATGGATTAATTATCAGTAAACGCCTTACAACAGTTTTGCTACCGAGCAAGACCAAGAAAAACACATCTCGTAGCGCTATGAAAATGGAGCTGAAATTCTTCAGTAGAAGATACTGAACAAATCCGTGAGGTTATCCTGAACACAGAAAGCACCTTAGAAATGTACACTTGACGCAGAATCGGTTCTACAGCAGGAAAATCGACATGTCCTATAAACGTCGTCAAATAAAAGTAGTTTACATCGAACTAAGATGAAAGTCAGACAATACATGATTCTTTTATTTACAACTTTATAGCAGAATTTTTTATGACTCAGCACGAACTTCAGGTTGACAAAACAGCGTGTATATCAAATCAACCTTTGGGTATAAAAAGCAAGGTTGGCTCCTAAAGTGCAGGTGATTTAAAACATCACCATGAGAAAAAAGTCGACCCCGACTTGACACCCAAAGTAGTCTCGTAGATACCAAGTACAGCTAAACAGGTTTGGGTGTACATGTAAACTGTTTATTGACAAGGGAGGTTCAGCCTTCTCTTCGTGACCGTCATTCAATCCTCCGTTGCGTTACCTTGGTTGCGAAGTCACGCCCAGAAGGCTATCAACCTCGTGTTGGCCTTGTTCGAGCCGCGTCATGAGAGAGGAGTGATAGATGTGGCCAATATGGACGAGATCGTCCTTTCTTTGAATTTCTTTTTTCTCTCTCTTCCTCTTCACTAAACTTATTTTGCGGCATTTAGTACTTTATCTGTAAATTACATAAAACTCTGATAGCTTTTTTTCCATTAAAAACTTTGTTCCTTGTTACTTTTGTCACGCATTTAAGGAGGGTGGCTCTCCATGGTCCGTTGGTTCATATCCGTCAAGTGGTCCACAAGGCATGCCTCGACCCCCTCCGTTAAAGGCCCCTATCGAAACCAATAATAAGTTCCCTCAGTTTTCATGGAATAATGAGTTCACCCGGTTCACTACAACTTGTGTCGTTAACTACTTCATTGTAACCGTTACTCTGGGTCACGCAACGTTTACTGGAGAGAAACGTTGGGTGACGATCCAACTAAACGCGATGAAGAGTAAGAGAGCGAAAGCCAGTCCAAGATCCAGCATTCGATATCTAAAATACTCCAAAGAATACAGATTAAAAAGACTGGCAACTAAAGTGAACACCCACCCACCTCTTGACGACCTTCTTCCTCGTCTACCTCTGCCGCGGCCAGCAGCCGCCGCGCCTGTGGTGTCAAAAGGTTTGTCCACTCCAGGCACAGCTCTTTTCTCAGGTGCCTCCTCTTCGACCTTCTCTTCTTCGCGCCTTTTGAGACATGCTGCCTTTGGGTTTAAGTTTCGTTCTAAAAAGGGCCAAAAAAACAGTTTTGTTGAGGAAAAGAGATAGAAGATTATAAACTCATAATGGAACATGGAACATGGGTGGAGAAGGTTAGTGAAGATTTATAGGGTTTTTTTTTTTTTTCGCACACCGTCAGCCTATGTTATTATGCTTCCTCCACCTAACGCCTTGTGCCAGAGTGGCGCATAAGACCGACGTTATTATGCAACAAAAGGAATTTTTCCCTATAACACGCCGGCTTACCTCGTACTTGTGATTCTAAACTTGTGATAACCGACACTGCCTGGTGAAGGATGACAAGCTGTGCGGCAAAGAAAACGCTTTCAGACAACCAGTCAAAATCATGATATGCTACATATAATAGATCACACAAGTAAGACACTGTCAAGCTGTGTATAAATTGATGTTATTAGCACCAGCATTCATTTCATAAATGTACAGTAAGACCACAGTGAAGGTTGGAAGAGGTTGCACGACAAAAGAAAGCAATCTTATACGATGAACTGACAACACATGACAACAAAAGGATTATGAAAAGGAATGACGAATAGAAGAAGGAATGTGAAGTATGGGATAATTTTCAATTCCACATTTAAACTGAACAGTATAACCCAGATCGATTTAACCTGACCCACTGAGAAGGACAAAAGTGAAGCAGTGTACACAGAAGCATCAGTGTCAAGCAACAGTGCCAGCCACACCCAGAAGAACGGCCAGCCTGGAGGAATCTATCTACTAAGACCTGTTGTTTTTGTTTGTTACCTTGGTTTGGGGTTTGTCGCTCTCTAAATGCAATTGACACATTCGGCCCAATTCTTTGAAGGCACCGTTGATGTCTCGAACTCTCATCCTGTAATAAAGAGTTATGATTTTTTGAGTTGTAGCTAACTTAGTCTCTCACCTTAGTCTGTTTAGAATTAGAGTTGGATTTGTCACCCTGTAAATGCATCATACACATTCTTCCCAATTCTTTGAAGGCTCCATTTATGTCTCGAACTCTCAACCTGTTAAGGCAAGGTGCAGAGCACAAATTTGTACGGTTCAATATCAGTTTGATCAGGGCTTTCTTTCTTTTGAGGGGCCTCTGGAAAAATCAAATTACCTTGAGCCTTTTTATGGTCGATTTAAGATCAAGCTTTAGGTATTATTAACGGGAACGTACCGGTAATCTCACACTACGCCACTTTATAAGTACCCTAGCAACACCCTAACCCCACCATCCCCTCTCCTGCCACACACGTAGAAACACACAGTCACCTGATGTTGGATAACTAATTCATTAAGATGCGTGCGTTTATACTTTATTGTTAAGGGCACAAATGAGGCACACAAGATCCCTAACCAAGATACATGTAACTAGCCAAATGACACAAAGCACCACACTGGCTGACCGTGCAGTTTAAGCATCCTACCTTTCCCTAGCATTATTGGCGTATCTTCTTTCTTGTTCTCTCACGACTCTGACTCTACCAGTGCCAGGTTCATCACCACCATCATCTGTTAATTTATCATCGTCGTCTTCACCATCTACAATTAAGTCCCTACTGACCCTGTCGTCTCCTAGATCCCCGTTACTCTTCATATCTTGTTTTGAAGACGAGTCTTTGCTGCTTTTTGGACCGTCACTCCCAGTGTCCATTTTAGAGCCATCTACAAATTGAATATGAAAGACAGTTCACAAAAAGCTTTATGCTTATCATAAACCACACCTTTTTGCCGAGTGAGATGAACAAATGACATTATGGTGTGAAGGGAAATCAAGGTAGAAATGATCAGTGAACTTACATCTTGACTCGCTGGTCTCAGAGTTACTTGGAGACATCTGTGAGCCTGCCCCTCTACTTGATAAGTTACTGGGGGACGCCATACCAGGGTCGTCTTCCATTCCACTATGTCCACCACTCTGAAGTTGTAAAACAACAATGACAATTCTAATAAAGATATATATGTCCATGTAATAAGTCAAATTATTCCCGCATTTTGATTGGTTCTCACTCATAATCAATTGGAGGACAGATAAACAGATGATGACATTGACATATCTTGGTCTCTTCAGTAAATAAAAGAGAGAGATTCCATGTTGCTGTGCATCTCTTCAGTAGCAGAACACAGCAAAGGTGAATGCGAAATTTGCAATTAAGGAGGCTTGATATTGCAATACACTTGGCTCACCATTTGATCCATGGGTTGCACGACTGAAGGTCCACTACTTCCCACAGATGATGAATAACCTACAGGCTGAACACCACCATTTACACCTGCAGCAGCAGCTGCAGCAGCTGCACTCAGCAGGCTTCCAGCTACAACAGGTGACATTCCAGGAGGGAGACTACCTTCAGCATGGGTACGTAGAACATGGATAGCATCATCAAGCCTTTCCTCCATTCTGCTTTGCTGTGTTGATAGAAAAACAGATGATCAGGATTAAAGGTTCAGTCAGAGCCATGGTACAAGAACTATCAGTAAAACCTGTATGGAATAGAGTTGACTTTCTAGTGATAACCTTGCTGAGTTAGTATCATAAGATAGAGTGCACAAGATATTTGTATTGCTTACAAGAGAGTGCAAGTGGCTCTCATATGGAGGTGATGTTGGTTGATTAGCTCTTCCCCAGCTTGCAGAATGTCCTGAAGCTCCAGAGCCAGCTGTAATAATGATACATACCAATGTTGTTATTCATCTATAACTATCGTGGATAATCATCATAAATTACAACAATCTAATTTCAGTCTGCATTAAAACCACTTTAAAGTAAAATTCAAAGACAATTCTGACAAGTATCACAAGAACACAGATGAATTTAATCACAGTATTTAGAGAGGAAGCCACATCAGCCTTTGATGGTTTTCATGCAGGTCCTCTATCCAGGTTGAATTGGAAATTGTAGATGTTGCGAGGGAGGAAAACCAGAGAACCAGGAGAAAAACCGTTGGTGCAAGACGAAAACCCCCAAAAAATTCAACCCAAAGATGGCACTGGGCAGGCATCGAACCAGGGCTGCACAGTTTGCATCATGGGGAGACAGTGTTTGTCAATCTCCCACTGTCACCTACTTGCCCTTAGAATGAACACAAGGAATGTTAGACAGTTGGACAATAATAAGTTATGTCCTACCTGACAAGGGCCTTTCATTCACACTTGCTAAGGGAGGAGGAGAAGCAACTGGTGTTGATGGGTTTGAAGAGTATGAGCCACCATTGTCTGTGGGGTAAATCTGAAAAATAACTTGTTCTGTTAATTGGGGGTGGAAACCAGTGATGGCCAATACCTGCTATTCTGCTTCAATGCTTCAATGATGTGCAAGTTGTTTCATAACATCTACACTGATTTAAAATTGGTTAAGGTTTGACTTTTTAAAACTTGAACCGATAACACTTGTGTTGGGTTGCTCACAACAACACATTTGACACTTACTGATGCCAGGGCTTTGCCAAGTGTGTCTCCAGTCTGTGAGCCAGATGTTGGGACCCTTGAACTGTGAGTGGCTACATGGAAAAGGAGAAAAAGCATGCAATCAACAACAAGCAAAAAAATATACCAGCAACAATAGTGCAAGAAAGAGGGATAAACAAACAAACAAAGACCACAACAATAAAAAGCATTTAATATGCTTCAGATTATTTTTTAACCCCTCTACTTGATCTTGGAAATCATAATGAAACAATCTCTTTACAGCATTTGTTACTGGATCAATTATTTATCTGCTGCTGATTAGTAATGTGGTCTCTAATGGACAATCAAATGTAAACATATCACGAGATCATCCCAGTTTATTAGTGACAACATCCATCAGAGGGCAGTCTACAAAATCTTCCCACTTTATAACATCACAAATAAAATTATGCCTGGATCCCTGATAAACCCATTAGCTCGAGAATTTCATTTTCAATTGAAACAGTGTAAATTTTATTTTTCGGAGGTTTTTAATCCTCTTGTTTGGATGCCAATAGAACAGTAGCCTGAATCTCAGACAGTTCAAGGTCACTAGCTCTTACTCCTCTGAAGAAGTTAAAGCAAGCAAATTCAGACCATCTGAGAGTAATGCTTGTTCTGAGGGCAAGCTGGAATTTCAGTTTTTTTCGAGCCCTGGAAAGGCCTCTTTAAGGTAAATGTCATACCCATTGGGTCACTTCCATTGAGAGGAGGTGAGACAGAAGAATGAAGGTAGGGAGATGATTGCCCATGGTGCATTCCAGACTGCCTAAAGGATGTCATAGGTGGCAATGATGAAATTCTATCCATTGGCTCACCGTGGGGCAGGTGATGGTATCCCTATGGAAACAAGTGTAGTGTACAAAAACTGGTAAGTTGACACAGTGTAACCAAGGTAGAGAAATAAAATTTAACCTGGGCCAATCGGCAAGATTTCTATTAAACACTGGGTCCTTACCTTCAAGTTAGCAAAATAATGTTCACAATTTATTACACGTACGTAAACTAAGTAAAATACAGGCTTATGAACATTACATTGTTTTTAGTTTTCAGTTGAGATTTACTAACTGAGTGAGAGTGGAGGTGTATCTTCAAAATCAACACATTTGATCACACCAACCACTACCAGCATGACATTTCAGTCATAAAGACAAAATCCAACACTGGTAATTCATCATAAAGTTAACATATTTAACAAGTATGTATGCAACCTTTATAGTAAGTAAAGTTTTATATATTATTTTTAAGTTGACTTGATTTAGAATTTTACAACATTATAAGCTGTTAAGATGAAAGCTGAGAGATGAGGACACACTTCTTAGATTGAGGAGAAAGCAGCAAGCGTATGGTGAGTAATATTGTAGACACAGTAAATACAGCTATGAATCCAAGAATTGTCATCAAATCCAGAAAAATATTTTGCAACTGACAAAAAAAAGTGGTGTGGTGCCTGCGCCAGCATCAGCCAGTGTCAGGGGTTTTCCAACTTTATCAAACTCTTTGACACTGATGTGCACTGATGTGCAATTTACCTTTTTGGGGGATTTGAAAAAAAATATTTTGGAATTGTTTCTTACTGGCTTCTGTATTTTTGGTGTTATGACAAACAATAAAAATCCAACTTCAGTGAAAAACAAAACCCTCAGAATTTTTGAAGAACAGCTTCTCTTTCTGCTGAGACATTGCAATCTACAATCTACTGTTGTAGCTGTCTGAGTATAAGGCAATATAAATATGACAACTTTAGAGGAAGACCAAACAATGTAAGAAAACACAGGATGTCCAGCTTACTGTGTTTAATGCTGTATAACAGCACCAAAACCCTTAAAGCCACCAGCACCTTTAGCATCTACCCCATGCAATGATTAGAGGCTTAGCTGAGCTTATTTTGGAGTGGTTAAAAGATTCAAGTGATCAGCACATTGCTGACCGTACAACGTAAGTGCATCTAACACCATAAACAGTGCCCACCCTAGACTGGTGAATAGCTGGACCCTTTGCTAATGCTGAAACAGGAATACCACGAACGTCGCTCTAAAAACAAACAAATAAACAAAACCCCTCATCATAAACATAAAAGAAAAAACAAAACTTCCCAGCTAGAAAACACCAAAGCAAAGATGTGACTGAAAACTGCTCTACATGTATGACTTACCATGCTGTCTCTTGGATGCATGCCGTAACTGTTGCTATATGACCCTGCCGAACTTGAATATGATCCTGGGCCAAGCTGACTACTGTGGCCCCATGGATCAGGTGAGCCATGATCTACAAATAAACCAGACAAAAAGACTTGTCACAAACCTTCACAAAAAATCTACATGTAGGAATTCAGTAATTAAATTAAAGACCAGCTATAGGTGACAGAGTAACACCATAAGAGTAAAACAATTTTGGAAAACTTTGACGCTTGGCTTGCTACAGCACAATGATTTGCATATAAAAATCATCTCACTGACAACTGATGGACTGGATAGCTGGCACAATCAAGTTAATAAAGCTAACAACAACAACAAAACATCATTCCTTTTTCAACTTCATTCAAAAATTTTTGTAATGACTTATAGTACACTATTGTGGTTCAAGAAGGTTAGGCAACTTCTTCCGCAAATAACAGTTTCAACAAAACAGAGAGAGACAAAACACAACCGCTACAAAGGCACAGAAAAATGAGTAACCAGAATTGAACAAGTAACATTTAAATGAAACTGGAAAGGTCAAAACAGATGCTCAGGAGCTATACTGGATGGCGGAATAAGAGCATAAGTTAATGTCTACAGTTTGCAAGGAAAACAATGTGAAAGCAGACACTGATAGTAAGATCACTTTTATTTGAATCAGGAAATGAGCAATGTGATATGAAGTACAATTATTGTTCCTGAATTGATGAACCAGTGAAGGTTAAATGTATTGACCTAGAAGGAAACCCTACATGAACTATCAAATCCTCTTTGCTTTTCATAATAATGAGGTTGAGATTTTTTCAAAACTAAATTTCAATTTCTCTTAAAGTTTAAAGAAGATCAGCAACAACGACCAAAATAGCAAAACCTAAGAAGTTCTCTTCACAGCAACAAAATTGCTATGGGAAGAAATATTCCAACCAAACTAAACTAAATATATGTTAAGAGAGTCAATTCGTTGTACATGTGTAACTGTTGCAGGGAGTTTAGTGCAGTTAGGGTGGTGTAGGCAAATTAAAACACTGCTAGGAATTCTTGGAATCAGCAACAATCTTAGGTTTATATCAAATACAGGAAGTCAGATCAAATATGCAAGTTAAGATTCCATGATCAGGAGAAAAGCAATCAACTTTTTTACTTGGTGTACTCACTAACTACTGTAGTCATAACTGCAAGTTAAACAGATCTATAACATCTTTGCATTTCAGCAGTTAAGAGGAATTAATTTGAATAGCAGATTAAACAAAGCCTGATGCAGTGATGAAATGGTGGTGTATCTTTCTCATGCTCATCTGGTGCATGGATAATCTTTTAGCCAGATGCTACTGCATAAGCACAGAAAACAACACAGAAAGGAGGGTTATCTTCATGGATTGCACTTGGTTTTGCATGAAGCATAAAAGTTCCCTCACTTAAATCCAGTCTACATTCTTGGATATAAAACTAATAAACTGCACCTGGTTCACCACTATATAGCTATCAACAGTATTTTTACAGGCAGAGGGTTGTAAGGAAAAGTCAAAAGACCTTCATTGATATAGGAAAAGTTAACCAAAAGGAAAAAATCTCTGACACGAGGAAAATCACTGATACAAATTCGATGTTTGGTTGATGACAGAATAAATGTTACTTCAGCTGGAAACCACAAATCAAGTGTTTATGAGCACAAATGCATATAACAGCCTTTACCACACCACACTATCTTGTATCTGAAATGGCCTGCAATGAAAAAGTCATCATGTGTGGATTTAAGCCACTGCAGGTCTTTAACAGACTTGTAATCATTAATAGTCTGGTGAGAATATTCATCTTTAACACATGTGTCTGCAACAGCAACGACAAGTTGTATCGCTGTGCAGTTATTTTGCTATTTTGCAGATAAAACAATGTTGAAAATTCATCATACTTCTTAAATAGTTGTGCAAAAATTGTAGAGGCCACTGATCTTAACTCACATCAAGATCTGAACGAGAGCAGTCATAGCCGGATGAAATTTTACTGTTGATCTTCATGGCTTCATTTTTATCAAGCACAGAGAAACCTCAAAGGAATGTCAGGTAAGATTAAAGAACAGTAAACCAGAATATTAAATTCATTTATTTAGTACCTTAGTGTTTTTAATGTCATACCACACAGTACAATATAACTAGTCCAGTATGAAACAAGAAATAGAGAGCTCAGCTCGGACAAAGGAGGAAAAGAGAAAGGTTTGAATACATGTAGACGGAAGACTGTAACAAGAGAACCAATTCTTCCAAATGGTGGTCAAAGAGCACATTCGAGTAGACAAGATGTGCTGTGCTACATGCATAGTGATAATCCTTCTTACCCATGTAGTAAGTGTCTGCATAGATTCCTCCTTTTGGAGAATAATGGGATTGAGTTAGGGCATCCCCAGGATGAGGCATCATGTCATCAGCGCCAGGCGAATAGACCTATAAAAGAACCAACAATGTTTAATTTTAGCATTCCAAAGAATGAAAAGGATGTATATTAGATGCCAAAGCACACAAGAAAGATAAACCAAGATCAAGAGGCAAATGACAACAGCAGTCACTTATAAAAGCACTGGCTTGTCATTTCACTGTGGACCATCCTTTTATATATTCACTCTTATTCTAAACAATAATTGCAGAGGAAAAGCACATGTAAATTGTCTTTTCGCAGGGGGTCACAGTGGAGTAACAGTTGTTTCAAGTTACTCAGCATATGGGATCAAGAAACCGCTTTTAGAGGCTCTTGGAAGTTCTGAAATCTCCACAAGGCTTATCTACATCCTGTTATGACTTATTTAGGCTCACAATCTTAGCTGAGAGAAATGACGCAGGTAATATTTAAGACCTTCTGTTTCATCTCTGAGGACACAACTTGAAGTCAAAGTGATGTGACATCCGTGTAAATAAACCCAATATTCAAACAACACTGCTCAATAGAAATGCCTCAAATGTACTCAGAGATATCAATAATACCTTTCCCCTGGCATGGTAGGGAAGTAAAGGCCTTTGATGAGGATATGGATGTCTCCACATGGAAAAACCTTTTAGAAAAATCACTGCACTAAATAACAGGCCAAGTATTGTCTGGCTTATTTTATCTGCTTCCTAACAGTGCCTCATGCAGGCAACATTAGGACCATAATCTAATTATTGTAAGATGATCCCTGCAGCTACACAATGATCTTAGTCATGTTTTTTACCAATCACAAGCACTCAAGTTCTGATTAGGCTATCATGTGACAAGGAATGACAGTGATCTTTAACAGAGCCATCACTGTTTGCTTGTAATATTATCCCAGAAGAAGAAACCACAGTTTCCACAGTCAGGGAAAGAATTTGGCAGCTTTTCCTTCCTATTTAAACAGATGTTTAATATTTTAAGCTTCACAGCTGTTCATTGGCTTTAAAAAGTAGGGATTTCTACAAAAGCAAAACATTTCATAGCTGTGCCTTTGGCAGAAATTCTGGTGATGCAAGGGATTAAACATTCTCAGCTGCATGTTTTAAATCCATCAGCACTGCAAGGAATGACAATAACTACTCAGTGTTTCTTCTTTAGTCTGCCAGTCTGGAAAAACATTTTTGTAAATTTTTAGATGTCGTTAAAATCTCTTTATAAAATCATTCCAAACACCAGCTCTTCTCAAAGATCTAGCATCAAAAAACCACAGCCTAGTCAGGCTTTTTACTGTTAGTGAATAGCCTGCTGTGACAATGAATTCCTTACCTCTCCTCCCTTATGAGTGCCTTTTGGTCACTTCTCATATAACAGATATTCCCTGTTATTCATTGACAATTTTTTTGGATAGAGATCAGTGACATACCAAGGTCGAATTGCACATTTTCGTGTAACCTGAATTATCTTGTGGTTACAAGATGGCAACATCAACCATTACAACTCTTCTTGACCAAGGTAAGTCCATTTAATGCATGTAAACAAGAAACACTGATTAAGGAAGCCTTGATGTTGCCCAAGTTATTTAGACACCTTGTTTTCTCCTAACAGGAATCTCTGCATTTTAAATTCTTATCATTGGTTTTAATAAATACTGTGACTTTAAAGCAAACTTACCGACAGAGAGCTATTAGTTTTGCTTGACTTGTACTTCCTTCCTCTCCCTGAAAACATTACCAAAACAGCAGAGTTAAATTATTAGGGAAAACTTCATTGAGCACCAGCAGCCAAGGCATAATGGGTGATACAACTTCAGATTTGACAAAATATGATTAAAGATTAAATAGTTTCATCTTTACCTAGCTGCCTCTTCATTAAATTTGACCAGCTCATGCCCAGACCACACTATTGCATTTTCATAAGAAATCTTATACTTTTTGACGCATATTTTTCACCTTTCGTCCACACTAAAATGCCTGAAAATGCTGATGCAAATGGAGACTTTCAAAAATGGTTTCAAAAATGGAGTCTTTTAAAAATGCATTGTTTTGTAAAAAAAAAATTATGGTAACCTTATTCCAGAATAACTGGAAATATCACCCAGCATGTAATTATTTTGATTTAGTTGCTCAATTTCAATTTTGGAATACACAGGAATGTTTTCCAAGCATTCTGCTCAAGGAGGCAAAATACTTGATAATATTTGAAAATGATAATATCACTTAATTAAGCAAAAGAGCACTTTTTCCATGTTTACATAGCCTCATGTAAGTTACACAAGGAGGGTTGGGAGAATTCAAGACAGTTGTGCAAACTCTCAACATGTCTCAGGTATCCATAATTTTCAAGAATTCTCTCAGCCACCCGAGTGTTTATGTAATCGCCAGAAATTAAAAGTGCTCTATTGCTTTTATAAAATATTTCTCAAAAAAAAAAAAAACCTGAGAATCTAAAACGTCACAACCATGTTTACATACTCTCATCTTAACACACCTATTATTGACCAATGAGAGTGTGTGTAGTAGCTCAGTTATTTTATAATCCTCATTATAGCATACTTGCCTTTATATAAAAAAAAATTATAGAAATGGTAGACATTGGTGTGAAAATCAGCTCTCAGTATGTAAAGAAATTCACTTGTTGCCCTGGGCCGGGTTGTTCAAAGCCCAATTAAGCTAACCCAGGATTAGCAAGGATTTTGATTTCATTTTGGGCCGGGTTGTTCAAAGCCCAATTAAGCTAACCCAGGATTAGCAAGAATTTTGATTTCAGTTTTGTCACTTTTTGTTGAGGAGTTCTGTTTATGTTGTTTACCCTTCAGTTTTGAGCTGTAGTAATCTCAAACTACACCAAATATAAGAGGTGAAGAACATTATAAACACAAAAATACAATACTTCAGTTAACGTTTAATCCTGGGTTTACATTAACCGGCTTTCAAACAACACGGCCCTGTTTTTGTTGTTGTTGTTGTTGTTGTTGTTGTTGTTGTTGAGCCTTTACATCATGAGCCCCTGGCTTGGGAGAATGAGCAACCACTCTGTGTCACAACATTAAATAAACTTTTACAATTAATATTAATATATGTAGCTAAGGTGGATAATCAATGACTGTAGCCTGCAAATACATCTGCCACTCACTGCACATGGTCAGTCTGGACACAAAATTACCCAGGTGCAAAGAGTCAGCTGGTTGTATTCCAGACTTGCAAATTAATGATGGTTGCAAAAAAGAATGTGAGCAGATGGCAACTAGAAAATTCCCTGACTCTGCCCTTGTAGGTCCATCAGGTGCTTGTGGTTCATTTTGAGTGGGTGTGAGTGGTTTGGGGGTACTTTGGGTGGGTTTGGGTTGTTCTGCATTTTGGTAACTACCAATTCAAAGAACTTGAGTTTCCACACAAACTTAGGGCAGTCAAAGTGATTGTTAAATACTCAAAAGTAACATAAAGAGTTTCAGAGCACCACATTCACAGAAGACAGAATGTACACTGCACTTTTAAGTTCATGATCAACAATCTAGAAAGTTTATAACTGCAAAGTTACCATGCAGGCAGGAGAATGATATTACTTATCACATGTTTACATTTCATGCCACTCAAGGAATTTTGATTATTTTAGCTGCACCCCAAACAAAGTTAATTAGACTTACAGCCACATTATACAATAAATATCTTAATTGGTAATACCCTTATACCAAACTTTTTCTAGGCTCATTTTATTTCCTTTTCATAAGTGTTCACTCAGTACATAAACAAAACATATATCTTAAAATTAAACCCTTGGAAGCAAAGATAAAGAGCAAGTCTCTTTCTGTTCTATGGTTGTATATCCATGTTCTCATTAACCAAGTTATAAACTCTGCATTGTTTCATGGGAATGTATATTTCAAAATTGCTAAACAAAGAAATCATGAAACCACGAGGAGTGGAACTCCCTGCAGGAGACCACTAATTTTAAAGAGCAAGCAAATATTTCTAATAGTTCTAGAATACATCAGCATACTTGCTCAGTGCTAAACCATGTTTTTGGCAACAAAAACTGTGTGACTGTTTTGTATCACAAAGTTAAACCCATCTAGAAAATGCTGGTCATGTGCAAAGTAAAATTTTAAAGTACTCTCCCTTTGTTAATTATTCCAAGTTGTCAATACACTTTCACTGCTTTTACAGAAAACAAATAATATTTGGAGAGGAAATGAATGAGGCCAAGAAAGTCATTTTGAAAGTTAGATCAAAATCTTTTTATTCTGTATGGCAGTTGTTTTATAGTGAAAACTTAGACTTAATTATCTTAACCAAAAGTTTAGATGTAGAGGAATTTATGCTTGTAGCAACAGGGTGTCTTTTAATCAGTCATGCACCAGGTATATTTGTATGCAAAATAAAGTCCCTTTTCAGTTCTAAGAGATGAAAAATGCTAGTTTAATGGGCTTCACTGAAATCCTGGTGAAGGAATCATTAAACTTGGTACCATAACATTTTTTTGAGGGTTTATATGGGAATATTTTCAGCCAGATATGGAATGTGAAATTGAATACCTTAGCTGTAACAGGAATCACAGTAAAAATAGTCAAGATAAAACAGAAGGGAATTAATTAACTGAGAAGCTATTCAAATTATCATAAAATAGCCAGGCTGAATATTTAAGAACAAAAGGCCATCTTAAGTTATACTGTATGCAACTATAAACACATCACAATATTGTTTTGAATATTGTCATCCATCTTACATGTAATATGTACAAAGTTTTGACAGTGTAAACATAATTAAAATCTCAAGTTTGAACAATATTAACAATCAATTGATGTTAAAGCCACTGCTGCAACACCATTATTACAATCATCAGCTTGAAAACTCCAATTAAATTTTCTCTATGAATTTAAATGCTTATTCAACTTAAAATGGTTTAGACTAATAACATTTCTATGATGTTGTATAACCTTGATTATTATCAATGCTTATGAACAGTTACGCCTGATTAACTTTACCTTGCTTTATTTCATGCACTGAAAAATAAGACAAATAAGGAAATATACTTGATTGAAAGCTGTAAAAAGAAATATCAGCCAAATAAATATATCTATTGTTAGGAAACATTCCTAGTAACACAAAACAAGCCTTTATGAAATAAATTCTCACATAATTAAAATACTAGAAACACTAATAATTTTGCAATAAATGGTCTTGAGGTTTATTTTTTACTTCACTCATTTTCTGTCAACAAAGTTTAAACATTTTTCAGAGAAAATTTTGGGGAAAGCATTTTCATCTATGCCAATGGAACATTCTAGGATCAATATTAATAAATAATTATGTAATAAATAAGTCAAATTTTTGGAATTGCATGGCAGTAAGTTACACGCATTAACTTTGATACATGGTGCACACACACACACACACAAAAGAAAAACAAGACACTAATGAACTGGAGAACCTCAAAACCAGGTGGTTCAAGATTAACTTCTTTCTGAAAAAAAATGAGTGTTTGCTCAAAACAATGCCTGTTTCACAGTATGACATTTGTCACATGATAGGTGCTGCAATTTTAATTCTGTCAATCAGAAATATTGGCTATAACAGGTCAGTTGCCATCTGCATGTAAGATATCTCTTTGACTTTCATTTATATCAATTTTGTGTCAGCCCTTTCTCACTGTCCAGTTGTCAACAGTACCGCACTTTTTGAGGTTGACTGCTATTTTGTTCAAAAAAATATTGAGCGTTCAGTCTCAGCCTGAAACTGACTAGTGTTAAAAAGTTCCATTACTGAAAAATGACAAAAAACAAAGCAGCATGAATGCCATAAGCCATGGAGAAATAATCAAAGATACGCCCTTAGTAGCTTTTCCCACTGTACAGGTGTCTTTTGTTTGTTTTTTTTTATTTACAACTCAAGTGATTTTGTCCCAATGTCATGACCTTATTTCTTCACTGTTACCACTCAGTAATCAAGAATATCATTATATTGACCACAGTTAGATATTTCTGAACCTTAGCTTTCAAAATACCAACCCCTCTCCTCTCAGAAGAGTTGGCTGAGTGGGATCAAGGGTGCACTCACTGACAAATTACAAAAGTAAATTAATGAGTCAACCATATGTTTGGCCCCAGACTTCCCAGTTAAATAGCCTGCCTGATGGACAATAGACACCTCAAAAAGGTCCAATAGTTGCATTCATTTATGTCATGTCACAGGATGATTTTTTTTGTTTGTTTGTTTGTTTGTTTTTTTGATAACATGTTTTTAACCTTCTATAACACCAATTTCTATCACTGTTATCCAAAATTTGAATATTCTCCTGGCATGTACATGTAGATACTAAAAGCTTATCTGGTGGTATATTATGACTTTTAAAGTACTTGCATCTCCTTAAAGAGCAATCACCTCAGATTTATTTGAGTGATTACATAACTATTTCCCATAAACAGTTTGGTCGCATCAATTTGAACAACACTTATGAACATAAAAAGGATTTGTTCTCCATAAATTAGACATGCATATAGGTTTGAGGTACATGTACATGCGTAGTGCATGTAGCACCTAAACTGGACTGCTCAATCTCTTTGTTCCTTTTTGAACAAGAAAACCTACAGTTAGTAACAGAAGTTTCAAGTTCCTGGAGAAACATACTTCAGGGTATGTACCTAATCAAAAAAACCCTGTAACAGACATCCTTGACACCAGATTAGCTAAGGGCTAGGACTGGGTTAATGGTTAGGATTAGGGTTGTTGCAGTTCATAACTGGTTGACAGTTAGCAGTAAATTGTTAGCAATGTCCTCTTGGGTAAGCATTTTGGGCGTTCTGGATTCTTCGGGTTGTTCCTTGAAAGTATGCTAGTGCTCCTAAAGATTTAAGATTCCTTCCCAGATAATCATTTCACTTAGTAAACTTACAGTCTGGGCTTGACAAAGATACATCATGAGAGGTCTGCAGTGGTGGAGGAAGACCAGCCTGTTGATTAACAACAACGTTCATTAACAAAACAGACCAATGTATGTCAGAACTCTCATATTATGTACACGAGAGACAATCACTGGGGTTTTAAGGAAACACCTATTCTGCATCAAGAAGGAAATAGAACTCCCTTAGTTTCCTTTCAATTACATTTTATAACATTATCTGGCAGTACCATTTTAAGTATCGTGACCTGTTGTCCAAAAAAACCAGTGTTCTTAATAAAAGTCTGAAGTCCAAAACTAAGTTAAAATGTACATGTAGGTTATATATGTACTGTAGATGTGGACATGCAACATTACAGAGAACATTCAATAACAACCTTTCTCCTTACGTCCATCCTCTCACATGTGAATTTGCACTGTTATCCCAAACAACCTTATGTAACCTTACATACACTGTTCAGTATGCATTGCCTTAGGATAAGTAGGCAGGTGCAAACCTGTTAACTAAATTTTTCATAACATTTAGAGGATGCTACCCTCTGATAAACAGGAGCTGCTTTATCTCAATATTCTGTAGACAACACTGTGGATGAAAGGACCCAGCAGCTGGCTTATCAAGGCTTATTTTAATCTTTACAGTGTCTCAAGTGTTTCCATGTGACATTATTATTTACAGATCAAGCTTTAGTGCTACTGAAATGAAATTTTGGTAGCTGAGCTTTTAGCAATATTACTTTTAAGATGCTGCCAACTTTTTTCTTCGTGGACGGTACATGGAAACTGTTTTTTTAGCTGTTGAAAGTCCACATGTTAAGCCCAAAATTGGTAGCCATCTTGGTGCAACCAAAACAGCCTTGTGGGGTTGTCACTAGTTGTATTACTTTCATTGTGTGCTGGGAATTAAGAGCAAACATGGGAGAAGAGACTAGTGGTGCATGGCCATGAATCTCATTATTAGGATATCTTAGAGCTCCAAGTTAGTCAAAAGCCTTGTACAGTCGAACCTCTATTAAATGGCCACCCTCGGGGAAATGGACTGGGGCTGCTTAAAAAGGTTTGGCTGCTTAATAGAAACAATCAAAAAACCATCATTGGGACTTTGATTGCTGGCCGCCTAATAGGGGTGGCCACAATCTCGTTCCCAGAGTATTTGTTCCCCTTGACCAGCCGTCAGAGAACGAGAGCTCTGGGAGCAACCATTTTGAAATAACTGAATTCTGGTGATTCTGCCCATCCAGTTTCACTGCGCAGTCTACATCTATGGCGTATGCCTGAAATGGTTGCTCCCGGAGCTCTCGTTTTCCGACCACTGGTCAAGGGGAACGAAGACTCTGGAAACAAGACTGGGGTGGCCATTTAATAAGTGGCCACTTAATAGAGGTTCGACTGTATATGATTTGCCACGAGACCCAGCTCTATGGCCTTTTTTCCTATTTAATTGGATATTTCCAGCATATTTCTTCCATCAAGTGCAGTGTACACAGTTCTTCACGGGGCTTCAAATTCCAATCTGACCAAGGTTTACAGTGAAAATTGAAATGCTAGTGAATGTGGCTGATTCGTGTTCTACATCCTAAACTAATGGTAAAATGGACATAAATTCTCCAGGAAGTAACCTTTTAAAAATATCATGGAGAACTTTTGCAAGAATCAACTTCGCTGCAAAACTAGCATCCTGCCTAATGAGCTATGGCCTTCAGTTGACCAGGAAGGTTTGGGCCTTTAAAATTCTTATAGTTTATACCACTGAGTGACATTTGGCTTCCCTCAGGCAGTTCAATGATGCATTCAGGAATAGCCTATTCAGTTCTTAGGTTTGCTTGCTTCCTTGCAAAACTGATGCACAGAAGGACACTTGGGACCAGATGCTATCAATGTTCTTTCCATTTTGCCACTAAGGCTGCATTACGTAAGCATACAGACATCAGACTTGGTATATCTTCCAGTGATATAATCTACAAAATTATGTGCTACTCCTGACAACAGCAACAACTAAACATGCCAGTAACTAAGGAGGGAACTTCTTTAAAACTTATGCTTCTCTGTATCTTATGCCTAGTCAGTTTTATTTTAGGGCATAAGAGAAAGCGTGTCAGTGTTATGCAGTGAGTGGTCGCATTTGCAAATAAGTTCAAAGTCTCCATTTTACCCTGCCCCAGCACAAGTAAAGCTTCTTTATGAAAGTTTGTCAAATCTCTCTCTTTGATACTAAAAGACTACCGGTGTAAATGAATGTTAAAAAGAACTTGAAGCAAACCATCACCTCTAAATTATTGGCAGAGAAGTACAAAACAACCAGATTTAGATGCATGGACGATTATATGTCTTTACACAAAGAGCAAAACTGTCAATACTTCTTTTGCATATATTTGAACCTCAGCAAATCAAAATTTTCATAGATTCTCTTGGTCCATCACAATAAATGCCTCATACAAAAAATTAAGAGTTTCCAAACTATTTAATAAAGAGCAATTCTGCAATAATTCAGGACTGAAAATGATGACATTTTTCAGAATAGAAATGCCTCTTCTCCCTCCAATGTATACATGTGTAGTTTTTCTGTTACATCTAAGCAAAAGTTAAGAGGTAGAAAACTAAAAGATCACAACAGTATGAATAAAGAATCTACCATGAATTGTGATTGTGTTCGACAGAACCCAGTTCTAATCGGGAAATGGAGGAAAATTGAGTTTTCCTGTATGTATCTCTCTATAGATACCAATTTGCCCCCCTTCCCCCTCAAGAAAATTCTTCAGGGGCAATTGACATCGTCTCCATTTTCATCCATGTGCTTTCTTTCAAGTGTTGTGCAATATTGTGGAGTTTCGAGTGTTGAGACCGCTTATTGTGGACTGTAGCGGAAAAGTTTTTTATTTAAAGTTTGAAGTTAGTGTTAATGGCATTTAAAAACCTTGCAGACATGTCTTCATGAAACCCATATAAAATGGGCAGCGCTGTGCAGTGCCCCGAAAGCACTTCAAAATAGCCGTACAGCTGATATGCAGCTGATTTTCAGCATTTCACAAGCCTTTTCATAGTCAAAGTAAAGTTGCAGCTGGCTGCAGAAATGCTGTGCAGCCCTTCAAAACGCTTGACAGCATTTTGCAGCTGTCAGCTGGCAGGCCACCGATAGCCTATCTCAGTGAACTTAGGATGTGTTGTTTAAGCAAAATCAACAAGATATTGGTAAGACTGATCATGACTGATGACAGCAGTCATTACACTGAAGCAGAAAAGTAAAATAACAATAACAGCTTGGTTTGTTGTTGCTGTTTTTTCTTTTACCAAGGATACATTTTCAAGTCCAGTTTCATTCAATTCAGTAACATGGACTCATGTATAAAATGCAGACTGCGGACTAAGTGCGGCCTACCAACTACAGTCTGTGTTTTACACTGACTGATTGTAACTAATATTATGTAATACATGTACAAATGAGAACAAACCATCTCGTTGGTACATGCTTTGCAATCAATTCATTTGTTTTCCCACCTACTGGAGGGAGGCCAATTTCACGTCTACCTAACAGCTCAGGCACAAAATGCTGTTCCGAGAATTTTTGCTTTACCTACCTACAAATGCTCGAATGCACTCTCTATCTACAATTACCACTAGTATACATTTATATTTAGAAAACAGTCCTAAGAAAATATGTGCGCTGACTGGTTAAAAATCGTGTTTCTATTTAACAATTAGATTATGAGCTCAGAATTTCTATCGCTTGATAGTATCACGCATAGGCAGTATATAGGCAAATAATAAATTATTATCATTATATATACCAGTACCAGGCACTTGCATTTCTAATTTTGGATTTCCCCAACAGGGGTTGGCTTCAATTTGTTGATCTTCTGGCTGCCTAAATTTGAGGAAAGCAAAATTCCCTTTGCCCTTATCAGATCAAGTACTAAAAGTCAAACTATATTGAGTGAAAAAAGTGCTGTGTTAGTAGACAGAGTACTAGGCAAGGGCACTTGGCAAGTGACATCAGGTTGAGTTTGGCTTTACTTGAACATACATACTATAATAATGCTGTACAACAGTCTGTAATCTTATGCAAGTCAAAATAAACCCCACCTGGCTTCCTGACAGTCCCGAGTCTCTGTAACCTTGAAAACAAATAAAGTTCCTATTATTAGATCTTTTTGTCCATTGTTAGCTACAGCTGGACAACAGTCAGGGATTGAACTAACTTATGAGCAATTTCTTCTTAAAATCATGCTCAGCTAATGGTTAACACGCTGAACCCAGATACAGCAGGCTGCGTTCGAGCCCTGGCCAGCGCTGTGTTCTGTCCTTGGGTGAGACACTTTACTCTCACAGTGCCTCTCTCCACCCAGGTGTATATTAAATGGCTAATAATAAATTTACTATTGGGGGGGGGGGGAAAAGAGAATGGTCACTGAAAAGGTCGAGGCACTTTTAGCTTGATCCGAGTCTGGTTTTTAGACAAAATATTGTCGCCGATATTCAGGAGTGGCATCGATTTGCATNGGGGGGGGGGGGGGGGGGGGGGTAACCCTGTGATAGACTAGCATCCCACCCAGAGTGGAGTAGAAATAGTGTATGTCAACAGTAGCCACCATTGTGGCCAACCATTGTCAAATTCTAATTCAACAGCAGTGCACACATGTTTTATCAGAGCAATGTGTTTCATGGGCAAATTAATTACATTTTTTTCATATACAACTCCAAAATTTCTGCTACTTTGATCACTGTTTACAAAGATTTTAACTCTAGCTTAACTATTATTAAATAAATTTAAACCTTCCCTAAGAACATGATAATATATTTTTCAAACTGCAGTTTAAGCCTCATATTCAGGGGGTATCCAAACGCTTTTTTCTCTTTTTGTATTTTTTTTAAATCTGTAACATAGTTGCCATTGGCATGTGAAGTATGATTTTAGGTTAATGTAGTACCAGGACATGTGGCACTGATCAAGCCCAAGCTGGTTTCATGTGTACTCTAAATTCCACTGCACCAATGAGAACAATGGGACTGAAATCATTACTACGCCCATGCAAGGCTAACCCTGCACTTGAAGAGTATTTCTAATCGTATTTTTAGGAGAGAACTGCAAGCCAAGGCTGAGTATGATATGAAAAATTATGCAGACCTCACAAGTCCAATGTCTGAAGAATTCTTCATATTATTAGTCATTCAACATCTTTTTTCACAGTGGACAAAATGAACTTTACTATGTTCAGTAACAGCTTGCTACATTCACAAGATACAATAAATTTTGTGAATTTTTCTGTAGACTTCTAAAAGCAGTCCACATCATTTAATGGCTTTGGTTTTTTCTTGTTATTTTTTTTCAGCTTGCAGCTCTGGTGTTTTGTCTTCCTACTCGTTCGAAATCTACCAACCACTTTCACACTCTTTTTGCCCTGCCCTGCCAAAGCCACTGCTTTCTGTTGTGTGATGTCAATCATCTGATATTTTTTTTCCTTATTGGAGGATTGGCATTTTATCACCAGAGGATCAATGCCAGTCATCAAATAATGATAAACAATTATTGAACAAATGACATAAATCTTCCAAATATTGGTCAAGTTGAGTTCATTATGAAGCAGAAACAAGAAATCTTTTGAAGGAATAATACCATTTATCTCTTTTTGTAAATAATGTAAAATAAAGTAGACCTCATTTTTTTCTATAATTTCACAATTTGTCCTACAGATATGGAGACCAGAAAGGCATTCATGTAGAGATGCACAGGTGCTGTTCAGACAACTACACTGATTTGCAACAACATTCAGATGTTTTGATGAGATTGACTTATCTGTTTACTGCTTATGGACCTATTGGAAACTATGTTTAACGCAGGGTATGTTGAAACTGCATCAGAGACAAGTACCAATTTACAATAATTTTGCACAAATCGAGAGCAACTGGTAATAATATTATTTAAAAGGTTATATTGTGCATTTCAGAAATTGTAACACTAAGTTTGTGTACATTGGCATATGCATATACAATATCAAATAACAAATTAAAAACATCGCACAAGGAACTGCACTAAAACAAAACAATACTCTTCATGCAAGAAAAATATGATAACAGAAAAGTGATATATAAAGCTTTACTGGGCATGAAAAGTCAATCGAGATCATAGAATATTACATAATGACATATCAGTAAATTGCTAAAATGCTTTTACGTCAAAATGGCTTGGTAAAAGTTATCTGTGCACCTGTAGCTAAAAATTATGCTTATTTAGTGTGTGTTTTACTCAACATGTTTGTGTAATTACTTGGACAATCTGTACAATTTTCCCACTAAATCAAAGTAAAGATGGGATCCTACTCATGATAAAGCACTTAATGGCATTAGTCCCACCTAGCTAGACTCATCCAAACATGACCCGCCTAGATTAGCTCAGCTATCCGCGGGCATGTTATAATTGTAATTTTAATTTGATAACAAATAAAATGTATGTATGTATGTATGTATGTATGTATGTATGTATGTATGTATGTATGTATGTATGGACCAATCATGGGCCCTCCATCACCCTGTAATGATGGCACCATATTCAGTTCATAGGTCATGATCTGTGCCAAAGATTAACCCTGTAATATTGTTTATCGTAAGTCAGGTAATTTATCTCTACATAGAGTTATCTCTTGCTTCCCTGTACATCACAAAAACTGCAAGTCAATATTACCACATACCAGTAATTCACATTTTCTTTTTTTTTTCCCTTTTTTTTCTTCAGATGGTAAACACAAGTTGAAGTGACAGTAACTTATTTTATCTTTATTTCTTGCCAGTATATGTAAATTTTACAAATTCAAATGAAATTATGAAGTTATGAAAGCTGGAAAGCCTGTATTTAACTAATGTCACTCTTGAGAAAACTGGCTCAATGCAAAGTATACACCAAGACACTTCTTGTTTAACTTTTCCAAGATCCTGATGCAGGTAAAATACCAAAAATGTCAATAACTGATTTATTTTTCAAGTCGGAACAGCCTGCAGGAAGTCAAAAAAGCTGCAAAGCAACTAGCTGTAACACAATTACCACTCAAAAAAATTGTATTTTTATGGTCTAAACATATGCACAGTTAATAAAGTCAAATTTCACCTGACAAAACATCATCTGCCATGAAAATGGCAATAAAATGTGTGAAAACCTTTTGATGCGATGAGTAAATCTGCGTTGTCGATGAACCGAGCGATGCTGAATAAGTGAAATTGTCTATAAAGTTAACTAGACATACACTGCACTTGTTCATTGAATGAAATCAACCATGTAACGTAGAGGTGTTTGAAACACGCGCTTGTGGGCACCCGACTTACAAGTAGACCCATGAATTGGCCATAATTTTACAGTGGGTATGTATCAACGACTTAGTTTAGTTGCTGGCCATGCTACCAAGTTAAAGGTTTCACAGCCGTAAAACTCTCGGGGAGGGTGGGGCTAACGCCAGTAAGCATGTTCACTCACATTATCATATCTTCTATTTGGCATGAACAAAGGATGAATGGCAACATTTTTCCATGAAATAAAATGAAAATATGCTTTAATCGCTCATTTTATTAAGTCCTACACAAAGGTTTGACTCGACGAGAAAACGTTCCTCAACGGACCAAACGTCCATCTAAACAAATTATTCCACCAGCTCAATACTTGAAGTGAACGAAAATAAAATATGGTTATTCTATTTACCAAGCATGGCGCGTTAAAATATTAAAATTATCACAAATTCAAGGGGGGAAATCTAAATCTCTAAGAAACTGTTTTGCGTTAATTTCGCCACTGTCTGATAGTCTTCGACTCGTTAAAATCGATCATGCGAAAAAGAATTTTGGTGTCGGAAAGGGATCTCGTCATGCATCGAAAACTATTATAAACAAGAAAAAACAAACCGATCATTTTCTAAAAAAGAATCCATGCAAATTTGCGATTGCTTTTGGCGCTGTCTCGCCTTTCATGTTGATCGAAGGTTTTTACGCATAATTTCAATAGATTCTAAAGCTAGCACGAGCCGATGTTTAGATCAGAAGAGGCCTGATCATGCGAGCAATATCAAGAAGGCAACGAGGTATGGCTGTGATACCTACGACAAAACAACAACAAAGCAAAGACAAGTAGAACCTTATCTCCAAACCATTAAAGTGCCAAAGAATAATTTTACATTTAAATTCTCGCCCGAAACTCTTGCCAGTTTTAACCGATCTCTTACCTAAAGTTCCTAGAGAATTTGAACCGAGATACGAATTGGCAAAGCCAGATCCTTTGCGGGAAATAAAGTCGCCCTCAACATCGTCGATTGTGCTGTATACACCGTGACTATCTGTGTGATATCCCTGAAAAGAACAAAAAAGCGAATATAAAAATAAGTGAAATTAAAAGGCGATCGGTCATATGTAGTTATATTTATTCAGTCGTTCAGGTTTTGATCAGTGAAGTGTTAAACATTCTGCGTTACAACGAAACAACATTCATCGAGCACGGCTTCGCTAACCTGCACGGCTATAAGAGCCACTTGTTAGTAAAATATTTTGCATCTTTATAAAGTAACAAATTATCGCTCAAAAATATAGAGTTTCCGTTTGGGCACGTGCGGCATTAGTGGTTCTAATTTTGAACAAATGTTCCTGTTGACATGTAAAGCGAGTTTTACACGACTTTTGTTTTGAAGATTTGTTTTAATTTTCAAGCGCATAAAACATCGCAAATTTAGCTGTATTCACAGCTTACCCGAGCTTCGTAGGCCGACACTGAACTGGCTTGCCACGTGGGTGTCTCATCCAAAGAACCTACAAAAGAAAAAATAAAACAGAGCCATCAAACTGAAGATTTTTACGTTCTGGAAGTTGAGAAGCACATGCGTTTGAATCAAGAACCAGCTCGAGGTACTACAGTGCGAGTAGCAGGTTCTATCAGCTCCATACAGCAAGTTTAATTCATGGCGAACGACAGACAAACAAAACGCAAACGGCACCTGTTCGAGATGCGTGCATGGAACTCGATAACCCAGCTTCCGTCAGAGAGCCACTAGATTTACTGCCGACCATGGATCCCGGCGGCGAAAACATCTGAGCAAAAAAATTGCCAACACACAAAGCAAACACGATCGTTAATAAACTGCACACAACAGCGCTCGCTAATCGCAACATCAAGACAAGTTGCGAATGCAAGTGTGTCAGATATTTTCCAACTTATACTAACCGCGCTGAAGTCTAGTAGATCGCTCAATTCCTTATCTCCCGCGTGCGGATTCATTCGTCAAAATGTTCCAGTATTGAGAGCTCCGTCCGAAGAAGAAATCGCGACGACCTTCTATGAATGCACGCAGGCTTGAGACGAATCGATTTTGAATAATAAGCTCAACCACACAAAAAATCCCCAAAACTTCAGGTCAATCGGTAACAAAGGCAACGCACCGAACTTTCCGTCGATCGTTTCACCAAACTGGCAGACTGCACTTAGCCAAAACAATTCTGGGCTTTTTAACGGTTTTCCATGCGCGTTCAGCGCGGGGGGAATTTCCGCGAACACAACTCAACAACTTGCTTTACAAATTTCCTCTAATTCGCGTGGCTTCGTTTTCTCCATATTCCCAAGTTTAACCGGCCCAACTCTCCAGGGAGGGGACTAAAAATAATAATTGACAGCTTATTGTTGCTTTCATCATGGCAATTATTAGTCTTGACAGATCCAATTATGTTTCAACCAATCATACGCCTTCTAAGAAAATCAACTGTGTCCACGTGACAACTACACGTGATAACTAAACCCAAACAAAGCCATCCTGGATTGTGGTTGGCCAATTTGTGACGTTATTGAGCCAAACTTTCTCTCTGTTTAGGATGCAAAATATCAAGGAAGGGGAGTATTCCTTCCAAGCTAAATAAAATTCCCGTCTATTTCTCCCTGGGATAACATTTTTATCAAAACTCTCCATTAGCCTTTTTTTGCAGCATAATCAACAATTTTGGTTCCAGCGAGGTTGTTCCCATAATTCGGGGTTCTTTGTTTTATGAGTTGTGGCTCAAATACAGGAAATATAAAACTATCTTATTTCCGGTTCTCGTTAGCGGTAAAAATTTGTATAACAACGCTTTCGTCGCAGGCTCCAAACAATGATTCTGTAGGAAAATTGTTCTGTCGTCGTCCTTCAGTTACTCAAGACAATCGCGACTTAGTCTTTACCAATGATTTCCACCTAAGTGTCACATGTAATCCCATTGTTGAGATCCGTTTACGCTTAGCCAAGTAGGATTAATGTTCGATCTTTTAATCTTAGTTTTCAAGAAAAAATACTCTTTTGGTAACCTCATTTTTCAGTCATTCACATAATAGATGTGTCCATGTTGATGAAAATTTGCATATCCACGGTAAACTTAGCTTAAAATTTGCATAATGTTGACACCGTAAGAGAAACGCGAGAAAAACATGATCTAAATTTAAAGATCGTCGAAGTCTACTTTCTAGTTTTCCTCGCTCGAAAATTTCCTTACATAATACCTTAAGTCTAGTACTTACTTTAGCCTTCAAACTCGTCTCCATGGCATTTTATGCGTAAACTTCTACTCAATTACGTGACATCATAACAATGTTTTGTCAAGGCATCACTTCTTTGTGAATACAAGTAGCTTTTGATCCGAGCCACTTACTAACTATTCCTTAAGCCCAAAACATATCAACATATCGTATGTTTGTTTAAATCAGTGGCAAATCGCAAGTAGAGCGATTTCAGATTATAAGCCTTAAGCCTCGCTGCATGCCGCTAACGCCGGAATTGAAACTATCAAGGACAAAAACGTTCGTTTATCCGCGGTTCATAAACGGCGCACAGACTAGGAAAATCTCAGCTTGGCTTGCTATCATCCAACCGCCAAAATTTCAATATAAAAAATGTTGTTTCCTTTTTCATTCGACTAGAAATCCTTTTCTTAAAAAAAATTGTTCTTCTTGTTTTTTTCAATCTTCTATTTCACAGTCACCCTACGGACAGTTTTTTTCGGCAAGTTACATAATTGTAAAGAGTCTCGTTTATTAAATTTTAAATACAATAAACGTAGTTCGATTGGCTACGCGTAGGCTCAAAATAACCGAACTCGAACAATTCCTTTTCTGGAAGATTTTACCACCGAATAAACTGATAATTTGCAAACTCGGCGTTGGCGTTCACTAAAATGAAATTGGTACTTATTTTATCGCTAAATTGTTCTACATTGGCTTAGTTAAGAGACAAAGAGTTTGGGAGACCGATTAAGATTAAAATTTCATGTTTTGCTATTTTGATCTGTATCATAACGTGTGTAATGCAAGGCAAAAATTTGTAACGTGCTGAGTTTTGACTTCCCACAGTTGTGGGAGAGCTCTGTGGGAGAGCTCTCACGTACATGCATTAAAACGCAAACATTAGACGAAAAGAAAATGTGCATTCTGCGTACTGTATACTAGGATCGGGCGTGGCAGTGAAAAAGCACGAATCATGACTCGAGGCTTTTTAATGAAAGGGTTCTATTGGGCTCTGAAGGGCTTCTGGACCCGTGTAAAATGATAAACCATAACATTGTGTGTTAGCTCATCACGGTTCACAATTTAGTCGTCGTTTAACTGACTGGTTAAGGAGTAAGTTAACAATATGGTCGCTGGCGTATACTGACTGCCAGACAATTGCTTCATCGCAAGGATTCTGGAAAACTGCATCAGTTTGAATATTATTTGACGCGTGGAAAACTTGCATTCCATTTCAAGAGAATAGAAAATGCCCCTGATTAAGCAGCTTGGCGATCCACAATGGTCATATATGGAAACAAGCCGCTGAAAGCGGAGTGGACAACAAATAGAGGAGTCCATTTAGAATACGCGGCACCAGTGTGGTGCCGCGACTGGTGCCGCGTATTATTGTCAAGGACATTCACGCCATCGAACGTAGAGCAGAGATGAGCCCTTTGACAAAAAAGGGGGTGAAATGTCCTTTGACTAGAGATATAAACAACTAGCACGGGCAGTTCGCAAAGTTATCTACCCGTAGAGAGTACCTATCGCTAATTGAATATTATAAAATAAAATAATTCATTTGAAATCATCTCAAGTTTAACATCTTTTTTGAATTTACGAAACTCAAGTCAACAAGAGCAAATCGTTCTTAGAAGCTCATGATAAAGGTGAGAAGAGTAACACATGTAGTTACTCATTTTTTACCAGGATGATTAAGTCATACCGCTTGCGGCTGTTGAAACAGGCAGTTTGCCCGCTTCGAACTGTGAACTCGCAGTTCACCTAGGTAATTAGATAGCTTTAATTTTGCAAATGCCTCTAGACGATTATTATACTGCGTTCACTTCTCTGATCGTTCATTCGTGTTTTGTAATTTCAAGGGAGTTTTAACATAGGGCTGACCTCATAACTTCATTCAGGGTGCCTATTTATTTTACTTTTGTTGTCGCTGTTCGTTCATCGCTGCTGTGTTTTCACTTTTTAATCTTGACATATTTATTCAATCCCATTTACACCCTGAATAAACCTATATTGTATTGCATTGTCAATTTGTGAATTGTTCAGTTCCAGCTCAAATAAATCTTGTGTTGTATTACCCGTTTCTTCCGAGGATAAAGCACAACGTTAGTATTTGTTGGCAGGATATTGTGACATTGCACATACACTGCCAATCGGATCGTTTTATTGTTTCATCAGACCTGAGGGGAATATTTCATAGTAGTGTTTGACAAAATCTGTCCTCGCAAGCTCGTAAAGAAAAGATATACAAATACTCTATTACCGTGGTTATACAGCTATGAAACCTTCTACCGACAGAAATATAAAGACCTATCATTATCACCTGTGTAACTTAAATAATTTAACTTTTTTAGCCTTTTTCCGGTTATTCTTTCAGCCTATGATTTAAATGCTCATTTAAAACGAATATCAATATGAAAATTGTTAGGAAAAATGCCCGAGCAGCTAACAGCTTTTTTTGTTTTTTTGGTTGTTTGTTTCAGGTCTGCAGTTGTCAGTTACTTATTGTTAGCACCCAAGTTGAGCAAGTTGCGGCACGAGGGCACTCTCCTGTCCAGCCAAGATAGAATGAGTTGTGAGAGAGTGAATCCCCCATATAGGCGTTATTTCCACGGTAATTCCTCTCAAGCTATTTTTAGATCACTCCTCGTCCTGGCTTCAGAAATCCAGAGATGGTCTGAAAATAGGCAATCCTGTGACGCGAATCTTACTCACGTGAACAATCCAAGCGGCTTCACTCGCATTTTCATCCTCCACGAAAACATTCACTTAACGCGCGCGGAAACATTATCTGCGGGAAGACTGGATACCATATCTAAAAATATCTTGAGATGGATTACTTTTAGAATAAGACCTATATTGGGGATTACCCTTCATCTTCTCATAGTTAGGTTTCATTCTTACTCGAGTTTTATTTATGACGGTAGACTAGAAGCAATTAAAAATAACTGCATTTCGCAGTGCATAACAAAGTGTTTCAAAAGTCTATTTTTAAAACCTAAGCGGCGCTTTAAGGTTTCTGCCACAGGAGGCGACTTGGAGTATTGCCATTCCTGACCATGGATGGCATGCTAGTCCATCGATCACAAGTACACCCTCAGTGTTTTTATGAGATTTCCCCAAGCAATTCGGTGACACCCAAGTATACTCCCAGATGGAGAGAAGCACTGTGAGAGTAAAGCGTCTATTCCAACAGCACAACACAGTGCCGAACCCCAGCTAGGGATTATTAACCCGAACCACTTGCTCCGGAAGCCACGCGGGCTTGCCATAACTCCGATCTTTATAATTCAAAATGTTTCCGAGGTTTTCAGACTTGTGTGAACCTTGCAGATCTATTCAGCCATTCAGCCGAAGTTTCAGCCCTCTCGTCTATCGCTTGCTCTCGGTCAGCAAAATTCAAGCCCGTCAGGAATGGCATTCTTTCGCCGTTATCGAACTAAACGTTATCAATTCCGAGATTTACCTAATATAACGCACAACATTCTTTATTGCTATCATGTTAAGTGCTGGAGGCAAAGGTCTTTCCACTTTTTCATTCATTCGTTCGTTCTTAATTCATTCATTCCGCTGATTTCTCTCTTTCTCTCTTTGAACACCTTGCCTTTTCTCCTTTTACGATCTTAAAAATGTTGCTCTTTTCCGTATCTTAAATATTTTTCTTCGGACCCTCTTCCCCGCCCAACGCCCCCAAGGTCAGTCTTACTTGAGGAATGTTCGGAAGGGGCAAAGCAGGGTAGTCGGTGAAAACAAGTCCTGACGACAGTAACTTTCCGTTGTACTTTCTTATTTCCAGATATTTTTGGTGAGAGGTGGGATTGGGAGTAATCAGCTCGAGTTCCTCTTGTCCCCCATTAACGAAGAGCTGGAATACGGTAATAATTCAATCTGAATATGAAACCAAGAGAAATATAGGGCAGAAAAATAAGATTTCGTTAGCATAACCCCAGTTTCAGTGAGGGGTTGCGAAATGACATGGCTGAATTCTCCAACTCATTTTACAATTTCACCAAAAACATTTTGCATGGATCAATTTAGTTTGAAACATATCAGTTTTTGCCTGTTTGTTTTAACATAAGGGCGAGATGTCGCTCATCATGTAATTTTCCTATATTTTCTTTAGTCCTCCTCCTCCTCCTCCTCCTCCTCCTCCTCCTCTTTCTGCTACCGCTACTGCTACTGCTACTGCTACTGCTACTGCTACTGCTACTGCTACTGCTACTGCTACTGCTACTGCTACTGCTACTGCTACTGCT